CGTAGGTGGAGGGGACGTCCGCTTTGTCCGATGTAGTGTTTGTCACAGTTGGTACAATTTATTTTGTAGATAATGTTTGATTTGTTCTCCTTTGTTATTTCATCTTTTGGTTTGCATAAGATTGATTGTAGTGATTTTGTTGGTTTGTGTGCCACACCTATCCCGAAGGTTTTCAGCAGTCTCGTTGCAGTTTCTGATATTCCTTGTATGTACGGTAGGGTGATCCTTTTACTGATTTTTGTGCTTGACTTGGGTTGTGATGCTGTGTGCCGTTGGTGCTTTTTGATGAAGTTGATTGGGTAGCCGTTCTTTTGAAATATGTCCTTCAGGTATTTCTCTTCATTTCTTCGTGCTGCCAGTGTGCTGCAGTGTGTCCCCGCCCTCTTGAACAATGTGTGTACGCAGTTGATTTTGTGAGCCCTTGGGTTGTTGCTGTTGTAGTTGAGAATTTGATCTGTATGGGTTGGTTTCCTATATACTTGAGTTTCCAGTTTTCCTGTATCAGTTCTAGTGATCAATATATCCAAAAATGCTAGTTGGTTGTTTGACTCCTGTTCCATTGTGAACTTGATGTCATTGAAGACGTTGTTGATCAATTTGTATGTGTTTTCCAGTTCATCCTTTTTGACGATGACGAAGGTGTCGTCTACGTAGCGAATCCAAATTTTTGGCTTGATCACTGGTAATATCGTGGTTTCTAGTCTTTGCATCACTGCTTCTGCGATCAGTCCTGATATTGGCGATCCCATTGGTGTCCTTTTTGTTTGTTTGTAGATTTTGTTGTTGAATTGAAAATATGTTGTTAGGCATAAATCGATGAGCTCCAGTAGACTTTGAATTTGAAGCGTCGTGTATTTGGTGAGATTTGTGTCGTTGTTGAGTAGCAGGGATATAGTTTCTTTTGCTAACTGTGGTTCAATTGAGGTGAACAGTGCTGTTACGTCGAAGGATATCATGAGTTCGTCGTTGTTGATTTGAATGTCCTTAATTTGGTCCAAGAATTGTGTTGGGGATTTGATGGAGTGTTTGGCTGAATCTACTAGATGTCTCAGTATTCGTGAAATTTCTTTTGACAAATTGTACGTTGGCGTTCCAGGGAGTGCTACTATTGGACGTAGTGGAATGTTCGGTTTGTGTATTTTGGGCCTGCCGTAGAATCGAGGGAGTACTGGTCCACTGGATTTCATTCTCCATTGGTCTTGTTTTGTTATTTCTCCTGCTTTGACTAGCTTGTTTAAAGTCTTTGAGATTTGGTTGTCTAATTTTTTGACGGGATTTGTGTCCATCAGTTTGTATGTGCTCTTATCTTTGAGTAGTTCTTCGGCTTTGTTGACGTATTCTTCTTTGTCCATGATTACTGTGGTGCGTCCTTTGTCCGCTGGTATTATGACAATATCCTTTCTATTTCTGAGTTCTTTCAAGGCCTTTTGTTCTTGTGGAGTCAGTTGGTTGTTTTCTTTCACCTGTTGAGTTATCGGTACTATAGTTTGCCTTATTTCCTGTTGTGTTTCTTCACTGATTCCGGAAGTTTTGAGTGATGACTCTAGTGCTGCGAAGAACTCCAGCTTTGAGGCGTCGCTTGTATTGTAGTTTAATCCTTTTTGGAGCAGGTGTTCTTCCGTATTTGTTAGTGGTTGTTTTGACAGATTGATCACGCAGTTGTTTGTGTTTTCTTCTATGGGTGGTTTGGAGATCTTGATTAGTTTTTTCTTTAAGGTGTTTCTTCTTTGTTCTCTATGTCGTTTGCATGATATCTCGATGGCTGTTGTCACGATGTCTAAATGTTCTGATGTGAGCATCCTTTGTAGCTTTATCTTTTGGTCTTCTATGACGTGCTGGTATTTGCGGATCCTGTAGTGTGCATCCGTTATCATTAGGTGTACCATTTTTCTTCCACTTTGCTCAGCTATTCTCCATCCTAGTGGGCATTTGATTGGAGGTCTATATCTTACACTTGTTGGTAGAACATGCTGGCGAAGACACTCATGGAGAAAATATAGTTGTTCTCGAGTGGAAGCCTGCCTTTTGGCGAAATTCTCCCATTTTCGAACAACGAGAAGCGTATTACGCTCATATGATTTTGAGATGGTGGAGAAGATTTGTAGCTCAGGTGGATGATTTTGATGGAGTTTTGTTCTCTGAGCTGGATGGTTTGGTCGTGGAGCTTTCATCGTTCTTCTGAACGACATCATCAGCACAAACTTCAGATAGAAGTGAAGTGTTCGATTTTCTCCTTATGTGTTTCACAGCTTGTTCTGTGCACCTCGATGTTGATTGGTTCTTGTTGACCTTAAATTTATCAATCCAATCCAATTTATCAACCAATCAGGAAAATCATGCATATATATAAGAACAAAAATCAAAACAATGGGAGACACAGCTTTCGACTGTGATGTCAGATCCTGCATATTAACTGGTGGCATATTACCGTTAGTTTTCTTTGTAACAGAGTCGAGCGAATGACTCAACAATGTTTGATGAGGTCTTATTTTGGGACTTTGGCAGAGTAGTTTTGGCTATCTTTCCTACTCTTCTACGTTCACGTGTCATCCATTTTCCATCAGTCGCAACGTCTACATCGAAACTACTCGGGACGGTAATGGTTTCGTCAGGATCGTCAGTCGCTGCTCTAGCAACTTGGCCACCAATATCTAATGGCGTATCGCTCGTTAATTGTTTCGGGATTACAGATTGTGTCAACTGCTTTCCGTATTTCCGCTGAGTTGTTCGGATTGTGTTTATACACTTGTATCGGAACAACTTGTATTCACTGTCCCAAGGTTGATGTTGACGTCCCAACGTTTTTTATTTTGTCTTGGCAAACATGGGATTTCCCGGTCTATCCGGGGATGACTGTGAATTTTATTCTTTGGAGCTTCCAAGGATATAGATGTTTAAATTACGTTTTTTATAACTACTGGACGTGATTTTATGCCTCCCACAATAATACGTGAAGTCGATTTTGCAGTACTCAGTATAGTCTGCAGAACTGATCGCCTTCATATCTTCCTTCCATATAGTAGGATGCGCTTGCGCATCTGGTCTAAGAGTAGAAGATATTCGTAGGTTACTAGTATTCGATCATAGATATCTTCGAAGCATTGCTCGTATATCCTAGGACCACCGTGTAGGTAATGCAGTTGCTAGGAAACGGGTACTAGGTAAGGATGGCAAATCAATTAATGAAGTAGTGAAACTTCATCAGTTGAGATGGCTGGGACATCTGTTACGTATGCCCAACTACCGAATGCCCCGACGTGCGATGTTCATTGGTATAGGAGTAGGTTGGAAGAAAGATAGGAGCGGCCAGACCAAAACATGGCACAAATCCATGAAGTCATTGACAAGTGGACCGAGTCATGTTGGTAGGCGTAGACTACCTGGTTGGGATCCGCGAGACGATGGCAACCGATGGTTAGAGACCCTGAATGACATGGCTCAAAATCGTTTGCAATGGCGCAGGTGCATCCACTCTTTGTGTTCTCCCAAATTCTAATCTTCTGAATCTTTCATGTCCCTTTTTTCCTCTTTCAAAATTTATTTCACTGGATTATACTCTTTAAGTAACATCTCCAAACCCTAATCTTCCCGATTACTGCTTATACTCTTGGTACCTCTACCACTATGGGATTTGAATCGACAATTGTATCTATGTGCTAATGTGGTGTGGCAACTCGAACTGATGTACGTACGTACGAAGTTCTACGTTGTTGCTGACTTACTGACTTGCGCATCTGGTCGGCAAACTTCAGCAACAATGAACTTGAGTTACATGGTCGCATGTTTACTTCTCTTCATAAGTGAACGGTCGTTTATTTGTCTGATCGTCATCGTGAGTGATGACGGAGTCCGGTACGTGAGACTATAGTAGTCCATATGTGGTGAGATCTCCAATGTCCTGGGATAAAGATAGAGCAATTGTGGTTTCTAAGAAATTTTAATCAAATGGTTTTTTTGGTGAGTCACTTCCAAGGCTTTCCAGTTCTTAGAGGGTGCATCGAAATCTCATACTATCAGGTTATATTTATGTGTTAAAACAAATAAATACTATTAGGCTTCTACACCTGTTTGACCTTGATTTTAGTTTACTTAGGAAGAAGCTACTACTACACATTCAGGACTATGGTACCAGTCAGTCAGCTAAAACTTAGGACCATGCACATATATGCATCGGTTCAAGTCGCCATACCTCATTAGCACAACAAGATCAACACCAAATTAGTAGTAGTTACTTCGGTGACAGTAATATATTAAAGATTGCATATATGTATATAATACAGGGGGGAAGAATTAGTTCGTAGAAAGAAAGATATGAAGCGATTTTAATCTCACGGTTTGAGTGTATACACCTACGCAACTGTGTCTCCAACCAATGGTTACGATAGTCGCGCGAACCCCAACCAAGTAATCTGAATCTACCAACACGGCTCAGACCCCAAGTTAGTGACTTTATGAACTGATGCCACATTTGTAGTCCTCTTCACCCTAACGGGTCACTTGTTCATTTTAGTAATGAATCGCACTTAGGATATACACTTATGACTGAGTGTTAAAGAGCTCGCACAGAAGTCCGTGGAGACTCACAGTTCAAAATAGTGAGTTGTGGGATTCCCTACAGGAAGTTATAGTGGTGAAGCCCTCTGCTGAGTCTTTCAAAAGAAGGCTCAAAGATTATTTTAGTTCTGTAGATAATAAAAGGGACTACTTTAGATGTTACTTTTCGACCACTCCTACTTTCAACTCAATTGTTTTGTCCTTCAGTTTCTTGTAGGAATATAACAAGAACCATGTATTCCCACTATCAAAATGTTCTTTTAATACCTAGACGCAGGTCTCAAAGAACAAACAGTTAGCCAATTTGCCAAGCTAAGTGAAGGCGACTGTCAACATACGTCTCTGAAAAATGATTTGTAGGCTGTGCTAGTTACTTCTAATAACACATGTAGTCTAAAGCACTTTCAGTTGAAGCTGTCGTTATGCGATATATTTTTTGGTTTCAGTTCATCATCCTAAATCGTTTTCAGTAAGTGCTTTGCTAATTAATTTTATGCTTGTAATTCTAAAAAGTATATTTCCATCTTAGGTCTTTTAGGAAAGTATTGGTAATTGACTGTCAAATAAGAAGAAAGTAACCCATTATCACTTGTTTGTTGGGATTATCACCGTCGTGATTACAAAGAAAGATGCCAACAGTAGATAGAGCTTTGGCCTTGTTAAGAAAATATCCTCGAGTTTCTCCTCAGAATATATCTGATCTTCCAGGAAGCAAACCACCCGTAAGAAAATTGATATATATATCTTCATTGGTAGTAGAAGTATCACGGTTTGAAACGAATGCGAAGAGGTCTTGGTCATCGTGGTGCTTCCCAGTTTCAAGCATTCCCACCCTTGGGAATTTTGGGTGCAAAGACACCATTTTATCTTTCTGTTCCTAAAGAACCTTACAACATTAACAGCATGTAAGTAAATGCATTGTTCTTCTTACAAACCAAGGTCTGAAAACAATCTTCACCGTATTTCGCTTCTAGAGCTTCAAAGACTGATAGACCTTAATCGAATAAATCCACTAGAGCCTATTGACATTTCCACACTATGTAACACCAATCTTTACCGGTTAAATGTGGATCATGATCGACAATATGGTTTCCATCTAACTGACGAAGTAAGGTTGTGTAATAAACTGTTTAAATAATTGTAGGGTATCGATAACTTTGTTACTCCTGTTAATATTGAAGTTCAGTATGCTAGCGAAGAAGTAATTGCAGCTGTGGAAAGAGTAGGGGGAATAATCTGTAACCGTTATTATGATCTGTATTCCGTTTGGGTAAAATCTGACCCTCAAGGATTCTTCATGAAAGGCATTCCGATCCCAAAAGCTAAATTGCCTCCTAATGTAAGTCACAAAACGATTTCCTGTTTCATGTAGCTAGTATGTGTTTTATATATTAAAAACAGCATTAATTATCTTGAACGTGCAGATGAACCTTTACGCCATGCGTCGGTAAAATACTATAGTTGGTTACATTTTGTTATACTTTTTAACTTTTGTGCACTAATCAGGGACGCTCTTTCAACTAGTACTTTGCAGATTCTTATCCTTTCTCTTTCTATACATGTTGACTTCGCTTCTTACCAAATTTTCTTTTTAATTGAAACTTATTCTTGGTTAATGGTAAATTATTTACCTAAGCGTTGTACGGGTTTCATAAAATGATGGCCTATTAATCCATAACGACAGGTTTTCGTTCAATATGCTTTATATTTTTTTTAAGCACATTTAGTCTCAAAATGCGCACTAAAAGTCGGATTTTTACTGTACTAATCCCTTGGAAATTCTTCCGAAGAAACAAACAATTTTGGTTGTACCAATTGAAGTGGTGGTGAGTATCTATCAGTGTTTTTTGGAAGGTTCCCAAGTGCACCTTTCAACTTGTTTTTATAATACTGAAAGCTTCCCATCAGAATAAGATGTTTCGTCCGGTCACTGCACAGACTGATAAGAGAGGTCAATTATTCTATCAACATCCAATGTGCTGCCCACGTCCACAAACACTTTCAACTAAACACAGATTACCATATGTGGCCATCATCGGTCCCTTTTTTATGTAAACGTAGCTCTATAAGACAATTCTCCCTAGTATTTATGTACTTACTGACTGTATAGTTCGAAGTCGAATCAATGTATTTAACGTAAACTGCATGTAACTTACATTTCAGTTATGAAAGACAAATGATAAATGGATCCCATAGGATTTGCCGACAGACACTTGTGTGTTCTTTGCTTTTGTCGGCACTTAATAAACACTTTCTTTTGTAAACAAATATCTTGAAGACAGCAAGGACAATATAGTTAACTCTATTGAAATCTTCGTTACATCATGATACACATCTTCATCCTTAATCAACTTTGTATGTATAAGCTGTAAGCAGCTGATGAAAACCTAACGTAATAAAACGAATTGATATTATTTTGCATCAATCTTCGTTCTTGCTCTCTTTAAGATAATAGAGGGAACTATGTGTATGAAATGGCTTGAAATAAAAAATATAGTTCATTTACCAAGTGCAAGTTCATATACTCGGTTTTGATCTACAATTTTTGTATGAAACCTAATAATACTACTCCGCTGCCAAAACAAAACTGGTGAAACTATAATTTATGAACGAACCAATGAGATTTTATTTAGAAGGTCTTAAATTTTAGCGCGAAAATCATTCATCCATGTGGCTAAATAGCATTTTAGCATTATAGCTGATATCGGTTAATAACCAAAACCCTTATTTGCAACTCTAAACTCTAATCCTAAATTCTCACTTTTATTTATAACCCTTTCAACTCCAGTAAGTGAATTTCCTCTAGTTCATCCTAACATCTCTAAAAGGTTGTCCGTATACTATGGTTTCACTCGGTAATAGTTGGTTTGAATTCCCTGCCCGAACAATATGTATCTCATATTTCGACGATAATTCCGAGAATGGACTTTTTGAATTAGAGTTTCTAGTGAAAAAACAAAAGTCTTCCACATTTAATGATGAACCACTACCACTCTATCGCAAGAAAATATCAACTGACAACTTAATTCCAACATACTTTATTTCTCAAGAGGTTTGCAGACAATGCAGCTAAAAGTAAATGACACAAAATCTGCCTTCTAGTGTTGGCTCTATCAAAATATGTCAAAGGTTTGAAAAGGGCAAAAAATTGTAGCTCATATTTGAACAAATAGGTAGGATGGCTAAAGTACGAATCTAGACGGTGTTCCGTGATGAAACACGATTATTAATCTGATTCTAGTTAACTTTCTGGGTAGGATCTTCAGGATTTTAAGAACCAGTGATCAATAACAGTTCGAATTCGACTACAGTACCACAAATGCACCATTTGCCTTTTACCTAGATTTTGAGTGTAATATTTTTCTTCCATTAATCTCTCTCTACTCATATTTCTTAGTTGTTTCAGAGTAACATGACCTGAACCGAAGTAGATTTTTGCGGTTTTCCAAGTCTATCTTTCATACTTTTTTGAGAATCAAGAATTCGTAACCATTACAAATATCCAACCGCTGATATATATATATATATATATATATATATATATATATATATATATATATATATATATATATATATAGTGGTTTGTGAAACAGCAGAAAATGGAGATCACAAACCTAATGTTAGGCAGTTGGAGAAAATCAGCATCTAGCCTTAAATGTCTGTATTGTGCTAGTAGTAACTCATTAAAGAGTTGGGTCCTCAATCTTGAGAACGCCGATGCTTTCCGTATGATTCGAGCCCGCGCCACCGAATGTCACAGTGTGTGTTGCAACGCAGACTTTATTACTATACACTACAATTTATTTCTATTCATCTGATACTGATGAATTTATCATCTGCGAATATGGTAGTAATATATTGTTTTCTAGCTGCTCCTCTTTAGTAAACATTTAATTAAGTTTTACGGTGAGGTAAAATCTCACGAGTTTATTCGTAGACACATTCTTGTTGGTTTCTCTTAGACATTATAAATTTTTATCTTGTCATAAATCCTGAATTCATACCTGGTTAAATAAGTCCAGAGTATTCCTTCATTACCTCGAAAATCAATTTTCATTTTAAAATGCCCCGTCTCAAGGTTCATCATTAATCTATTACTGGTCACTGGACAAATATAACAAGGAGTATCAACTTTAATGTAGCTAAATATCAGTGTACTGTGTGTTTAATGGGTGAACATACTCATTTTGAATTCTTCATATTGAATCTATAGTTAAATCTCATTTCGGGCATATCACTTGAAAAAAGTGTTGCCATTTAGGGATTTTTAGTTTGTTATTATCTTATTATTATGAGTCAGATAATAACGCAGTAGAAAAATATCAGAATCTGGTTTACACCATGTTACCATCGTTCGGTATTTGATCATTATTCTTTGATTTTAAATGTATTTTGCTTCTTATAGGCGTTGATTCCATTCTACGCAAACGCTGAGTCTCGAGGTTATCTGGCGGACCCTGAGGAAGTGGCGAAATCTCGAATTTGGTTGGCTCAAAAGTATGGTTATCATCCATTCGATTTTAGTTCATCCTCGGAATCCACTCAAAAGCTGATGTCTATGCGGAAAGATCCTCGACAAATATTTCATGGACTGGAGCCTGGTTGGCTTGTCAGTATTCCTGACAAAGCGGTTTTAAAGCCAAAATCTGATCTCCTTGATGCCTACCACAAATCCTGATTCCCCCAGTATTTTATAAAATGCATTTTGAAAGTTATACTGTGGAGAGATGCATGTTAATTAAAAATAATAAATAGTACATTCAGTTTTAAAAATCCTGTGCATAATTATGTAATATAAGTTTATGTGATTAGCAAATCACTGAAAGTTCTAAAAATGTTAAGAGAAGTTAAAGTTTCTGAACTCTGCTGCGTTCTATATATATGGCATCAAAAATTGATTGATAGCAGAAAAATTCCTTTACCTAGTTTTACCACAATCAGAAATGTAATTGAATTCGATTGTGTATGCTGGAACGACACAGTGGACAATCAAGAACACTTTCAGAACATTTCTTGCAACAACAGACATGACCACATGGAAGGAATATCGTTGAGCACTGTACTTGGAATAAACAAAAAGTATGACAGTTAATGAAAATTTAAGAGTTAAAAACGGTAGGACATCAGTCTTAAGCTACATACAGCCTAGCACAAATCTGCGTTAGACCAAGATGCCACACTAAATTAGCACAAGATGAAATTAATAGAATGAATGGCAACATAGTTAGAATGATTGCAGCAGCACTGTGATAATGAGAAAAACTATGCATTGGAGATTATGGTTTGGAAAGACTGCTAGGGTACACATGAAGGGATGTCGGAACTCAAGATTCAGGAGAAGATAAAGCAAATGCATCCGCGCCACTGAGACAGACACACACAACTATCACATGCCAATTGTGGATTCAAATGTTCCACTAAATAGTAATTCTTAGAAATTTCTGACCGAAAAGTCATTTGCTAGAGACCTGTAGAGATCTATACTTAAAATATCGGGTTCTATTCAGTACTTTTTAAAAATCGTCTACGTTGAAGCTACAGTTATTTCATATATCAGTGTTATGAAATTTAGCTTTAAGTGTTTTTTAAATTGAGGAAGTGACCACTAGGATTGAACCTTTGTTTCTATGACTAATTACTGAGCGCATAAGAATTTGCGGCGAAACCATAATTTATGGACGAACTAATGAGATTTAATTGAACAAGTCTTGGGTTTTAGCGCGAAAATCATTGATCCATGTGGCCAAATAGCATTTTGACATTATAACTTATGTCAGTTCGTGATGAAAACCATGACATTCAACTGCAAGTTTTAATTCTAGTTCCGCAAACTGATTTATAACCCTAGAAGATGAATTTTCTCAAGGCCACTTTGTGGTCGTTCAAATCTCGTCCATAAATTAGAGTCTCACTGAATTCGCTTCATTGTGTGAATGAATATATAAAGTTTCACCAAAAATTCGGTAAAACGATTTTTATTACTTCTCCAAGGACAACATTATCCTATATGGCTATTTCTTTATATATATATATATATATATATATATATATATATATATATATATATATATATATATATATATCTGTGAGAATTGGCCTGATAATTATCTAACGCTTAATTAAAGCTCAAAAACGGGAAATCATTGACCTAAATCTTTAAACATAGAACATCACATTGTGGCCCCATACTTTTTGATGATCAACGCAGTCAGTTGAAGTATTTGGTAGTCGGAATTTTGTTAGTATTAAAAATGTACTCAGAAACATTAATAAAATGTGTAAAGTCAGTCAGTCAGTAACAACGTAGAACTTCGTACGTACGTACATCAGTTCGAGTTGCCACACCACATTAGCACACAGATACAATTGTCGATTCAAATCCCATAGTGGTAGAGGTAGTAAAATTATAAGCAGTAATCGGAAAGATTATGGTTTAAAGATGTTATTCAAAGAGTATAATCCAATGAAATAAATTTGGAAAGCGAAAAGAGCGGGACATGAAAAATTCAGAAGATTAGAATTTGGGAGAACACAAAGAGTGGATGCACCTGCGCCATTGCAAACGATTTTGAGCCATGTCATTCAGGGTCTCTAACCATCGGTTGCCATCGTCTCGCGGATCCCAACCAGGTAGTCTACGCCTACCAACATGACTCGGTCCACTTGTCAATGACTTCATGGATTTGTGCCATGTTTTGGTCTGGCCGTTCCTATCTTTCTTCCAACCTACTCCTATACCACTGAACATAGCACGTCGAGGTAGTCGGTAGTTGGGCATACGTAACAGATGTCCCAGCCATCTCAACTGATGAAGTTTCACTACTTCATTAATTGATTTGCCATCCTTACCTAGTACCCGTTTCCTAGCAACTGCATTACCTACACGGTGGTCCTAGGATATACGAGCAATGCTTCGAAGATATCTATGATCGAATACTAGTAACCTACGAATATCCTCTACTCTTACCGGCCATGTTTCACTGCCATAAAGTAGGACGGAACGAACTGCTGCGCAGTAAACACGTCCTTTAGTTGATAGACGGATATCTCACCTACGCCATAAATCACGCAAGTTGGCAGAAGCTAGTCGAGCCTTCTGTATCCGTGCTGAGATTTCGTCACACACCAAACCACAAGGGACTTTCAAGATAAGTGAAGCGGTCGACACACTCAACTACTTCACTCCCTATCACTAGTTCGGGTGTCGATGTAACTCAATCCTGAAGCAACATTTTGCATTTCGAGGGAGAGAATCGCATCCCGAACATGCTTGCATTGTTGCTTAGAGTGGTCAGAAGACTCTGCATTTTGTCAGCGTCTTCACCAAATAAAACTATGTCATCAGCATATTCTAAGTCAACAAGTGAATTTACCCGTAGAAGTTCAACCCTTGGAAATTTAGATGAGGAAAGTGTTATCTCTAAAGTACGTCGACGACAAAGTTAAACAAGGATGGAGAGAGTGGACAGAACTGACGAACACCAATTGAAGTAATCAATTCTGATGACAGTTCGCCATAATCTCTCACTCTACCAGTTGTGTTCGAGTAGAGAGCCTTTATAAGGTTAATGTAATTCTTTGGTACTCCTTCCAGTGACAAACACTGCCATAGAACCTCACGATCAACAGAGTCGAATGCCGCCTTAAGGTCGAGAAATACTACCATTGTGGGGCGTCTGAACGTGTGTCTGTGTTCTAGAACCTGACGCAGTGTGAATATCTGATCTATACAACCAAGTCCAGGTCGAAAATCAGCCTGATTTTCTCTTATCTGCTCTTCACAAGCTTTAGTTAGGCGTCTAAGTATTATTGAAGCTAATATTGTAGACACTATATTAGTCAAACTGATTCTTCTGTGATTGTCACAAGAGGACTTTTGTCCTTTCTTAAAAACTGGAACAATCAGTGATTGAGACCAGTCAGATGGGATTACGTCCAGTTCCCAAATTCTACCTAAGATCTCGGTTAATCTCACTGCTAATACTGAACCACCATCCTTAAAAATCTCAGGGGTAAACCTGTCAGGGCCTGCTGCTCTCCCTCGCTTAAGATTTCCTATGGCTTTTTCAACTTCGTAAAGAGTTGAAAGACTTGCATCAACTTGCCATTTAGGTCGACTGGAGATCTTGGGGAACCGAAGTGTGTCTGAAGGCCAGTTGAACTGATCTCTGAAGTGTTCTGCCCATCGAACCAATCTCTTGGATTGAGAATGTATAATATGTCCATCTTTCTCTGAGATTGTTTCGCTAACGGTCGGGTTCCTAATTCCGGTTTCCTGGACAAGTCTGAACAGTTGTCTGCCGTTGCCTATTGCCGCTGCCTTTTCCATCTATCTTGCTTTCACTACCCGCCACTGTTCGCGATCATTGCGTAGACTTCTTGTCAGCTTGCGCTTAAGGTGACTCCGCTCTTCGTTATGTTCAGAGTCAGATGGAATGAGTTTTCGAGCATCTATCAGTGCGGTAGGTGCTGCTGAGATCCAGTGTTGCTCCGTAACCTTACGGGTTACCGTACTAGCAGATATCACTGCTGTTTCAACGGCTTGTCGGATATCATTCCGTGCTGCCTCGGGGTGGGCATCACTTACATGGCTGCTGTTATGGCTTTAAGTTGGTCGATTTTTACCCTGTGCTAATTGTTGTGTCCTTGACTGGAAAATTAGGGAGCAGCGTACTTATCGATCGATTACAGTGACACGTAAACACGAACGGACGGCCTAGAGTCTCGATTGGTCTCGCTTCCCTGTCTAGCCCAGTCAGTTGAGTCCAGAACGCAAGCCACGGCCTCGGAGATATGAATCATTATATTCCAAACATACTTTGTTTATATACCAATCAAGCATACCACATCGTACCATAAAATAGAAAACAACATTTTGTACAATATTCAACAAGTGAACAGATATCGACCAATAGAAAATGTCCATTTAAAGTCCAAGGACACCATTGGACTTAACATGATAATTATTGGTCTATTCCTCCGCATCCACAACAGCTGCCTAACTGTTTTCCTAGTTGTTCCTGAAATGTACTCTTAGCTTGACTATCATTAAGTAGGACCCTTAGAGGTTTCCTTGCAGCGTCTCTCCTGCGTCCAGTAAGACGCAAGCAAATACGCGCTCGCACTAGAGCATGATCTGAATCTAGGCATGTGCTCCAGAATGAGCGACAGTCTTCTATCGAGCCCCTCCATTGGTGGATGACAGCGATGTGATCTATTTGGGTCCAACGTTGGGACGAATAAGGGGTTCGCCATGTTAAAAGATGTTTTTCCTTATGTTTAAAGTTAGTATTTGCAAGGAACAGGCGGTTATCTGAGCATAGCTGCAACAGACGGTCGCCATTATCTGTTCTTTGAGCCACGACACTATGAGATCCACCCAAGTGTCTTTCCCCGTTGCTTAGTTTACCTACTTGAGCATTAAAGTCACCGGCCACTATTACCACATCCAAGCGCCTAGCTTTTCGTAAAGGTTGGACAGCTTTCTGTAAAACTCATCGTTTACGTCATCTGAGCTGCAGTGAGTGGGAGAATAGGCAGAGACGACGAAGAGGCAACGACGAGTGTCCCTATCTTATCGGATCCTTACTGTTCCGTTCAGTCGGACAGTGCACAAACGACTGTCTACTGGGATCCATTCTAAGAGAGCTAGTTCTGCCCTAGGACTGAATGCTATACCTACTCCGGCGAGACCACGGGAAGCAGAATCAGGGCTTCCAGATACACGAAGTGTGAATCGAGTCGGTTCATTATTTTGGCATGGTGAGGTCAGATGAATGACGCTACTCGGATCCTGTATGCGTGTTTCGGAGACGCAGCACACATCGATGGCGCGGGATTCTAAAGTCCTAGCTAAGGAAGCCTGTTGTCCTATTTGGCACAGTGTTTGGACGTTAAAAGCTCCTACATGTAGTTTAGAGCGTGGTTTCAGGAGACCGGGAATAGCGTTCCACGTACTCGAATGGTTTGCCCTAGCGGTGCGAGATGATAAAGAGACGTGAGGAGGGTTGGTCATGGAGATAAGAGAGGTATTAGGAGGTGTAGGAAGGATTTGAATGTGACCAACTTGGTCTCGTGTGCTGTTACGGGTATGAGGGCTGATGTCACTTCCCGGCTGCCCACACCGTGGAAGGGTATTTCTTGAGGAACCTGAAAAGGAAGTTGGATTAGTGTTGGTCTTAACGACATGGGAGCGTCACTGTAGAGCCCAAGGGACAGCTGCTTGAAGCCGGTTGCGCATGGCCTTTTCCTGGGGAGTTTTTAATGTGTTAGCTCCGTTCTTCAAAAGGCCTTACTGCCAGAGACGAAAATCCGTGAGGTAAGGTGAGGTGTGACATTTTTAGGGTCGACCTTTTCTAACCACACCCCTCCTTGTGGGAAGGTAGCATCGCTGCAGATGCTGGTTGTCCGAGGGAAACACCTTACTGCTGTCACACCTCTCTACAGTCAGCAGTACGACTCCGCCCTCAGACCTTGAGTTGCTGCTTTTAGTCTTACCGTTCTCCAACCGACCTGCCTGGCATGGTAGAACCTTCAGGAACATATGTTCCAGCCAATATAGCTCGGTTGGGTCATCACGATAGGCAAGCTCGACCACCGCGTCAAGGTAGCAGTTTCGGTCGGGAATAAAATGTGTAAGACAATGTTCCACTCACTATTGCGTCTTGACATATACAACACTCATTTTCTATACGAGCCACAACTTCGTCAGATATAACAATACTCGATAATGTAGCCTCCGGAGCTGATGGTGTTACATACGGTGTTGGAAGTGATTCTATCGTATTTAACGTCTATTGTAGAAACAAGAATAAATCAAAAATATGTAACGGATTATCACGAAGACTTTGGTTTTCTATAAGTTTAAATAAACTAGCAAAAATGCTGATAATTTTAGTTGCTGTCCTAACCATTAATTCTCTAGATTGCGTGCTTTTGTTGTTTCATATTTGATTCAATCAACTGTGGATCATGAATTTTCAAGGTTATCCTATGCTCAGTTTGTTTATTTTTATACCTATCAAACTTCTTACATCTTATTACTACTAACAATATACTACACAATTTTACAAATGAATAAAAAAATATGTCCGAATATGTCATTTGTAAAGTAAATTTATTATAGATGCTAATGTTAAATTTGGCTGCTTCTATAATTAGTTAATTAGAAGAATGATCAATCATTGTGTATGAAATACATTATCAATTTAAATTACTACATGTAGTAAGTTCAATAGTCATACTTAAAGAGTTAGAAAATTCATTTTAAAGGATTTATCAGGTGATCCCCAAGTAACCTGAGTTCATAATATATTCTAGTATTGAACTGTTAATTGAATTACGTTCACCTTTCGAAAGCCATGCATGAAAATATTTGGGGATACGTTTGGAAAGTGATCGCTTTGTACGGCCTATGTAACCTACTCCACAAGAACAGGTAGACGTATAAATACACATTGATATGGCCTAATACAAAAGTTTTTCCTTAACACATCTATGAATAATAGGTGGGCTGAGAAGGATGATGCGAAGATTGGAGGTATAAAAAAATATTTCTCAAGGATTTCATTAGACAATTTCTCAAAGTTTCCGAAGCAGTATAAAAGTTGCACAAAATGTTCATGAAGAGAATTAGGATCTGTATGAGTTCTCGCAGATTTTAATTTAGGTTTCATGTTGCGCTCAACAAACTTGGGTGGATAGCATCACGGCTCGTAATACTACCAAGCTACCACCTACATCAAGGTATTTCTCGCGAGATTCGAACCTGTAATATTACTTTTTAAATGAGCTAATTTCAATTAAAAAAATATCACTGATCTACATGATGAATGTAAAAGAGAGGAAAATGTGTTAGAAATACCTTGTCTTCATCATTTGTTTTCATTTTGTACAAACCAATCTGCCTCAAAATCTCACGACGTGCTCCAAGAGTGTGAATACCAATCTATGTTTTATTATACGTAGTTTTTTTAAAACAAAAAAAAGTCGAAGACATGATTATCGATTGAAACGACTACCTTTAGAAACAGTCATAACTTACGATCAATCAATGTACGGTAAATATATAGACTGCACAACATCATGTGTCAAGTGTACAGTGATTCTTTCTACTTTTAGCTAGTTCTCAAGATGTACATACTTGCACTAATTCATTAACTGTGAGAGACAGAAGAGTAACTTAGTTGTAAATTAGGATATAAAATTAAAGCATCACACTAAACTGTACAGGATAACAGACAAAAAAATCTCCAAAGAAGCAAGTTAACCACTAATTCAACAGATTCGGTCGTATCGAAAAGGGTTAGTGAAAACAAAACACCCCACACGATATTCCAACTAGGGAAAAAAGGATATTATTAACAGTGATAATTGTGAACAGGAAAAGTCAATCAGGCACAATCAATACAGAGACACGAATGCATGTCAGCACGAGTTGTTATGCCACGACAAGATGAAATCAAATGTGATAGGAAAAAGTTCCGAACAGTAGTATAAATGGTAGTGAGAAAGACTAAAAATAAAAGAATAAAGTTTGGAAAGATATTTAATTCGAACAACAGAAAGTATGAAGTAATATCTAGTTCAACAAATACGGGGAAATGAGTTGGTGCATCCGCGCTTTTGTGATCCAATATCAGTTTCATAGACCCCAAAAGTCTCCAAAAAACTCAAAAAGACTAGTAAAGTACCAAAATATCATTACGAAACGAAATATCTCAAATCTATGACAATCATGAACTCCCTTGAATTAAAAATGCAAGAGATAGGACGCCAACTAAGTGAACTGAAGGTTAAGCGGCTCCCGAGAAGGACCGAAGTCTCTGGGTCTTATCCCACATAGGGTCATAAGTGAGTAATGTTGAGGAATCCCATTCTAGGATGAGACAACTTCTTAGTGCCTCATGGTTTTCATTGATTGACGATTCCACAAAACGACTGAAACTTATCCTACCATTAGCGCTCAAAAAGCCGATGGTTGATAAATTATACGGAATTCGGTATTCAGGTATTCGATTTTAAGTGAAATTAGTTTATTCCGTGAACACAGACACCAATAAGTATCTTCATTCTCAGAGGAGAGGATCATTTTAATAACCTTGGCCACGAAATTGGCTCGTTAAGTTATATATATTTAGTCACTCGCTTCACTATGTGACGCTTGTATCGTTTTAGCTGAACATAAATTTATCCGAAGAAACTCCTTTCTGACTTCCGAACATTATTATTATTAATGGCTTTATTCAATATTTTGTTTTTGGTACAATTTATAATTCTCAGCACAAAGTATTTCAACAAGTTTCCTTTTCTTATTTCGTGATCGATCCTGACGATAAATACTGAGTGACCGCCAGTTAGATGTTAGCAATTCAAGTATCGACATCTGAATAATGTTCATTCTTCTCAATGTATATTGTAACTACCACAATGTGTCTGATTGTACTTTTTAGTAACTTGTACATCGAAAGGTCGTAAACTTTTCATAAACGCGCCTAAGTGCGGTTAACAGACATAATAATGTGTTAGAACAAAGAAGAGTAGATAACTTGTTGAAATATCTAGATGGCAGGAACAGGTAGTCTAGATATTCAAGTAGGCTGCCGTGATGATATTCTGTACCGTTGGTGGTTGCCATATTAAAAGTTATTTAGTTGAATTGTATACAAAGTTAAAAAAACACTAACGTTTCGCTACCGAAGCGATAGGAAATGGGTTAGTCTCGGAAGAAACATTAGCATTAAAATACATGTATATCCAGTTAACAAGATCCAATGATGATATGAACGTCTTGAATTTCACTGATAATCATTCGAAAATATTATAGAACTTGAAACTATGCAGTTCTGAATAGTAACAATATGAAAGCACATAATGAACCTTTGACGATTAAAAATAATCCAACGAATGAAAACTTCAAAATGATAGTACTCTATCGGATCTGCAAATCGAATTAATTTATTCAAAAGAACTGTCTGAATGAAACAATTAAAAACAACAGATAAACAAACTTACTTCCTTAAGATCACTATCTGTCATAGATTGCATAATTGAATAGGTAATTGCATGTCGTTGAAAATTAGGCAGAAATTCCAAAGATTGTGCATTACTAAGAATTATTTGAACATCTGAGTCGGCCTACAAAATTTAAAACAATATATCCTTATCTTAAAATTAAGAGGTCAAATAATCACTACAAAGTATCCAGATAATAAAATAACATCAAGTTAGAAATAGTGACATTTATTTAAACATATAAACATTGGTATAAGGAAGCACCAAATACATATGCGCCACATAAATCATTCGACTTGTGTGAGGGCTGTGATACTGTCGTTGTGCCCAAACCGAAGCATATGGTTTTCTTAGGGGGCCACACCCAAAGCCTTTGACCTAAAGATCTGATCCACAAGGCAGTGGAGCAGCGTAAGGAGATGTAGTCCCATGGTAACCGGTGATCATCGATTGGTTCATACGCTATTTGTTCCTTCAAGATACTGGAGCTCATGTACACCATTTGTTTGGAATCAGGGTTTTACAGCTTTCTTAGGTATACCCTCTGTACCCACCACTAACCCAGTTAAAGCGACAGACATTCGCCTTTCGTCCTCTCAATTTCGTAAACAACACCGCCGCCGCGAGAGGGTAGTGTGTAGGATTTCCCTGGCAGTGGTTGTATGCACGTGGACATGTGAGGGCATTTCGAGAGGGAGAGGTAACTCTCTCGACTCTCGGCCGTACCAGGGCATTTGGGGGCTGCAAAGAGGAGGTAGGTGTAGAGCACCCTGAGTCACTGATTTCCTAAACATCCATTTACCTTCACAGATAATTATGTTTTCAGTTTTTTTTAATTCGCCAATCATCCCTACCAATGGTGTGCACTTTTGCGCCTTCATAAAATTTCTACAATCAATCGTGAATCTGATTACTCAAAAACTAAAGAGGTTATACTACTACTATTCTAATTGTTGAAGAACAGATCACTAAATCAACTTATCTATTAGTTAAATCTTAATTATAGTTGTAAGTTTTCTATGTGAAACAATTCAAAAACACAATCGAATTAGGAATGTTCAAATATCTGAAGAGAATTGATGAATTTTAATAGTTGAGATCACGAGATAATTGAAGATAGATCACCGTGGAAAATCTAAAAGCACTGAAAGACTATTTCGTTCTGTTATGGGACTCCTCAACAATGTACATCCACGATCCCAAATCGCAAGATTGATTAAATTAACCATTTTCAACTGTTTGAATCTAGTATTTCCACTATTAATTATCCTTTGCCAAATGCTATATCATTCATCTTCAATACCATCATCTACGTATTAATATACATTTTTTGTGTGTGAATTGGTTACTGAACGAAACTGTAGATCTATTGATATGCAATGGATTTAATTTATTTTTAAACAAAAGTACTATTTCGATATTTTAAATATTTGTGATTAGTTGTATGGATAAAGATCAGTTGGCATTAGTTTATTATCCATGTAGATTTAAAACTAATGACGCCTAATTATTGAAACATTTTAAAGTTGGTAAGTAAACTTTGTACAATATTCAATTTCGCCTAGAGCCCCTTTGGGACCACTGCCGGTCCCAAGCCCGGATAAAGGAGGAGGGTTGGGCATGGGGGTTAGCGACCCCATCCTGTAGAAAACTAACTCGTTAAAAAAAGCTAACCAGAAAAAATTATTCAGATCATTCAAATAACAAATGATTATAAATTCCTTCTATAGATTCCGGCAAAATTTCTTAAACAAACACAGCATCCGCTATGTTTGTAAGTTATCTCAAGTTGATATACTTAGAGAAATAAAGTGGGAGGAAATTAAATAGACGTAAAATAAAGGAATTCGGATAAGAATAATAATAATAGCAAGAAACTTAACATATGAAGTACTACTGTTCAGAAAGAGAAAGATAAGTCGAGGCGTTCAAATGTATACATTTATAATAAAACTCAAAATTTAATGAAAAAAAGTATGAATGCGATTGAATCGATGTGAATGATTAACACCTCTACAAAGTCTTCAAATAGAGATTATGTTATGCCTGTAAGTTAATCAATATCTCGGGAAGTAATTTGCCCATCAGAATCCTAATAATATTTCTTTACTTCTGATTAAACTACCTTCCGTTATTGCTATCTTCTTAAGCCTACACTAATTACATTACTAAATCTTGAGTTTGAGGCCAAAAATAATCCTAACTTCTATCGATACTTTTAAGTGTATGTGCTTCTTTTAACTCGGTCTTCGGTTCAATAATAGAAAACAAGCTGTAATACAGAGGTGGTAGTATATAACTCAAACATCTTTAGCTGATGTATATGAATTATCAGACCATAACTCAACCCAAATCTGAAATCATACTTTACAGATGATCATACTATATATATATATATATACATATATACATATATATATATATATATATATATATATATATGTAGGTGGTATAGAACGAAGCAAATAGTACAAAACTAATAAACAATAACTAAGAAATAATAAGTCGCATAACAATAATTAAAAGTTATAAAGTAAACCTACAATACAAAGGATACAGGTATAGAATAAAACAACTGACCTATACTTATACAATTAAATTCGATAAAGTGTTGTGAATTAACAGTTCTTACTTTCGAATAATTGTTATACTGAATTAAGAGCAAATAAAATTGACTGGTTACTATAGTACAATTTTAAGTTACATGAAACTAGAAGTAATAATTTCATTATTATGAATACTTTAACAGTTAGTTAGTTTATTATTATTATTATTATTATTATTATTATTATTATTATTATTATTATTATTATTATTATTATTATTATTATTATGAAACTGACCTTATCAAGTAATTTGACAGGTTTTGAATTTAATACACGTTGATATTGAACTAACCAAAAGTCCAATTGATCGTCTTTCTTTTGTTGTTCGATTTCCTCCTTTAATACATAGATATGTTTAAATAAAAATGTGCATAATCGATATACGATGATTGATCGATCACTGAGTATAGTGAGCGATATCAGTCAGTCAGCTACGACGTAGGACCAGGCATATATATGCATCGGTCCAAGTTGCCATATCTCATTAACACAACAAGATGGACACCGGATTGATAAAAGTAGTTAATTCAGAAGTGGTAATATATAAAAGAAAGATTGCAATAAGGATAGAGTACAGGAAGAAAGAATTAGTTCGTAGAAAGAAAGATATGAAGCGATCTTAATCTCTTAGTTTAAGGGAAGACAGGGAGTGTACACACCTACGCCATTGTGATCGATTCTGAGCCATGTCACCAAGAGTCTCCAACCATTGGTTACGATAGTCACGTGGACCCCAACCAAGTGGTCTGCATCTACCAACATGGCCCAGACTAGAAGTTAGTGACTTCAAGCACTGATGCCACGTTTTGGTTTGGCCGCTCCTAACTTTCTTCCAACAATCTCCAATACCGGATAGCATTGCACGTCGTGGTAATCGGTGTTCAGGCATACGTAACACGTGGCCCAACCATCTCAGTCGATGAAGATTCATAACCTCATCAACAGATTTACCATCATTCCCTAATACCCTGCGTCGAACCTCACTATTACTTACCCGTTGATCCCAGCAGACACCAGCAATATTTCTAAGACATCTGTGGTCAAATACTAGTAGCTTACGAGTGTCTTCTACTCTTAATGGTCATTTTTCGCAGCCGTAAGTTAAAACAGAACGGACTACCGCGCAGTATACTCGTTCCTTAATTGATAGACGGATATCTCGCCTTCGCCATAGGTGACGTAAGTTGGCTAAAGCCAAACGAGCTTTTCGAATCCGTGTTGAGATTTCGTCAGACACTAACCCATTAGGGCTGATCAGACTTCCAAGATAAGTGAAGTTGTCAACGCGTTCGACTACTTCACTTCCTATCCTTAGTTCAGGTGTTGACGTAGACCAGTCCTGAAGCAGCAGCTTGCATTTAGAGGGAGAGAAACGCATTCCAAACATTCTGGCATTGTTGCTTAGTGCTACCAAAAGACTCTGCATTTTATCAGCGTCTTCACCAAACAGGACTATATCATCTGCGTATTCTAAGTCGATAAGTGGACCTCCTGGAAGGAGATCAATACCCGAGAATTCAGTAGACGAGAATGTTATTTCCATCAATAGGTCTATGGTGAAGTTAAACAAAAATGGAGAAAGTGGACAGACCAGTCCTGAAGCAGCAGCTTGCATTTAGAGAGAGAGAAGTGAGCGATATCATATTTGTTTGATTCCTAAAGGAGTTCAGTCGTGCTCCTAATAACTCTGTAACAACGTCTCAGACTGTAGAGTTGGATGATATGGGTTTGAATCCCATAAGAAACATCAGTTTCCTTAAGATTACAGGTATATCATGTTGATATATGTCAACTAGCACGAAACCCAAGTTATAAAGAGTTTTTGGCCGACTACCTGTAACCACCTAACATCTTAGAAATACTGAACTGAATCTACAGATAAAAGAAAAACTTCAAATACACATATACTCTGTTGTAAGTCTGGAATTTTTACAAATTAGTTCCCATATAATAAAATTTAATTTGTTTCTATAGAAGACAAAATGATATAATTAGAAAAATATATGTATATAAATATTTTCCTTGAATATGTAAAGATAACGTACAATTTTAGTTCAACCACATCACCTGTTACCAAATTAACGAAGTTACATTGGACAGTTAGTTAAAATGGATCATGAAACAAAAGTTTATTGGAAATCATAGAATAGAGTGAAATGAACTTTACGTTAGACAAATGTTATAACGCTCTAAACGTGTTGTTGGAGATGCGGGAAGCGTCATTCGGCTAATGTTCGCTATTTTAAAAAAAAGAGTTTGTTTCCGATGTTGTAAATATGGTCATGCTCAGGTATGTTGTAAAAGTACGCAAAAGATTGTCAACTATCGGCAAAAGTTTGGTAAAGGAAATACGAAGCAGACAACAAAAGAGATCCCACACAGACAAATTAGTATTTTACCTTAGATATGATGATAAATTTGTCATTTTCAGTAGTCAGTAATGCTCTCTTTGAATGTATTAATGCAAAACCTGGTAGCTACGTAACAGTTTAACATATATATGAAAATACATTTCATTATAGAAAACCAATATATATGTAATAAAGCACTTCCGTCAGTGTAATTCAAATAGTAGAATTAATTTGAATTCAAAAGCTTCTCTCTTTTAAAAAACTCAGTTACGTTTATTAAGAAAACCAGTATTCTACAGAAGAAATTAAAGACAAATTAGTTATGTTAGAGAAATGACCGCATGACAACCGATAACAACAGACAATCAATAATAGGTATGTAAACAAAACAAAAACGATAAATAAGAGATTAGAGTATAGTAGAGAAAATGGTCTGATGGATTCTCCACTTAATATATTTTAACTATACATGAATCTAAATTGTGTGAAACATTCAAATAATTTGAAACCTCATCATGTCTCCTCAATAAATCATATTGACTTCTTTATATTATTAAAATCAGGAATTGATTTGTGATTGCGTAAATGTGATCAAAAGGACATAAATTGGGTCATCGAATGTCCCATACCAAATTATGTTAGGGCACGTTGAATGGAAAAGAATTTAGACCCTTCAAATGTAAAATTACAAATATGCTGACGTTTTTCTCATTGTGATTCATTCTCACTTTACTTGGTTTATTTAGAGTATAATGACGTACCTGTCCAAACTGTGTTCTGATCTCGACGACCAAGTCAAGAGAGGTAAAGTGGTCAAAAAATATAAAGCAATAAGGGTATCTCGATTAGACAACGAAATACTTAACAAAACTTATTACTAAGATTTCCAGAATAACATTAATATAACAAGACTTACCAAACGTTTTCGTAATTCCTTTTGACGATCTTGTTGTTCATCCATTAATTGAGTTAACAATTGTAGTAGTTCAGATCTACACTCATCAAGAACACGTTGATTAACCTCAGTACGCTGATTAACACGTGACCGTTCAGCTAAAGTAAGCCGGCAAAGTTCTTCTTCTACTAAGCATATCTCTTTTTGTAATCTTGCAACTTGACCATCTTTTTGACGTTGTAACTGAGCAAAAGCTTCTTTTTGAACACTTTCCTTTATGAGAAGTATTTTTAAAGAAAAAAAATATAATATAATATAAATCATAGTTATTACGGTATGAATTATCTGGAATTCAATCTTTTACAATGGAAACTGGTCGAATAGCTTCACAGGGGTGCAAAAACTAAAAAGTGTGTACATGTGGAGGGGTGGTGCTTGGCGTTCCTTCGTTATTATTATTAAATATACATCACCTGATTTCAGAGACATAATATTGCTCATAGTTTCACATTTGATCTAGAGACTACTAGCATTTTTTTTTCAAAACTGATTCTCTTCTGGCCAACATAATAAATTAGGGTAGATAGTTTAGTGGTTAGGTAAGCATAAATATTACAACCAATAAAATAATACACTTTATACAACTTCGGAGTAGGAATTTTTAAGTATCTCTAAAGTATCTTTGTTCTATAATAGATTCGGTTTATAGACACACAGGATTAACAAGCTTCCAGTACTAAATACAAATTATAAATCTTCTCTCTCTGCTGTAATTTAAATGGATAAATAATCTCTATCTCTTTATAGATCAAAAATTATTATTAAAACCAAAGGAAAGAATTTCAATCGATAGATCATAATGCAATGGAATAGTGTGACTGAGAGATAGCTGTTCATGAATCCGAATTATTGATGTAATGCTCTCAATTGAACTGATATCAAAATACAAGGAACCTATCCAGTAGAATAGGTTTTCTTTCTTTTTACAAAATCACAGGCTTGTAAAAAAAGTATTGAATATAAGATCAATCGTGTTTAGAAGTCACTTAAAAAAATAAACGACTGAAGGATATGAAAACAACAGTAGTTATTCTATCTTCAATGGAATCAATGTCTAACTATTAGGCTTAATTACTGTCCTGTTATATCAATCATTTAAAAACTAGTATTTTGGAGGAAATCAACTATTTTAATTGAATGAGAAACTTAACAAAAATCTGTATCAAAGACTCCCTTTCTTTATAAAAAAAAAATTAAAATGTCATTTCACTTACCTCTAGCATAAGATTAAAGGTTAATTTTGTATGATCAGCACGTTTATTCGCTAGAACTTGTTCAACATATTCATTAGTGGAATCTTTGTTATTTGAAAGACTGTGAAGTTTAGTTGAATTCAAATTCATTGTATGAACTGCATAAGCATTGTCTGTAATTGACAACATTTCTTGCATTGAAGCTGTTTAAATAAAATTTTGTTAACAAACAAATTATTGAGATGGTGGAGAAGACTTGTAGCTCAGGTGGATGATTTTGATGGGGTTTCGTCATCATTAGCACAAACTTCTTTCGGAAGTTAGTGCTCATGATGTCGTTCAGAAGAACGATGAAAGCTCCACAACCAAACCATCCAGCTCAGAGAACAAAACCCCATCAAAACAAATTATTATTTAGTTCCTATCTAAATAATTAAAAATACAAACAATGATGACGATTATCAAACAGAACCTAAAAATTACCTATTAACTAAGATATCTAAATATGATAAGTCAAATTACCAACTACTTTTTTCACCAATACAATCAATAATTAGACCGATCTGAAATTTCGATTACATTTAGACAACTTACATTAACATTTTTCCCATGACTATAACTTGATGATAAGCAATAAAATAAAAATGGCTGTTTACCAAAGTACTATAACAAATGTTGAAATAGGTGGCTTAAAGTGGTTAAAATACTCCACTTTCGATTGCAATATCTCAGGTTTGTTTTCCATCCGATCAAATACAAACAGTGTGGATAAAAGCTGTCATACATAAACCTGTATGTATATCAACAACATACAGTTACAGATCATTTTATCTGTTTAAAAAGATAATGGATTACTCTACTGTGTCGTTTTCAGTGATATACCATTACTACTTAAAATTAGTATTTATTATTCTATGATACTCAGAGCCTGTTAAATCACGGTAAGGAATATGGTAACGCGTTAAAATGTAGTGACATTTTTGTCATGATATATAACTATATTATATATTGTTCAGTGCATTTCTTAAAATTTTCAATAGTTCCCAAGTTGGAAATTTATCAAAATAAGTTTATGACTATCTCTTTTGGTCTACTTTGTTTAATAGTATAGTTAAAGGGTTTTTCAAGTTTGTCATAAATTGATCCCAGTTTGGGTACCACGGAAACCTAAGAAGCATTGTACAACAGTTTCATCCTAATATCAGACTCCTCAGCAGAATGCTAGGGGTCGAACACAGGACTTATAGGTTTGTCAGTCAACGCTTTAACCGTTAGAATAACTGAGTTGGCTTCTGGTGCTATAATTTCAACTACAATGGGTCTGCGATATAGTGCAACGATCATTTAATACCATCGGTAACAACTGTTCAAATAAACTGAACTAAACTAAACTTCACTTGTCATGATATTCCCAATTAAACTTTAAGAATAAATTTCGAATCAAATCACTGGTGAGTACAGAATAATAATTTTATTATATTCCATGGTTTATAATAGTGTTTAGCTGAAATCAATCTGTGATGGACACAACCTACTTCCTTTAATGTTAATTTTGAGTTTAATTATAAAAAGACTTTTCATTGTACTTTGATAGTGGTGCTTTATTGGTCTCTATATAGTACTCTTTGATCAATGGGCTTCACAGAACTTGATGAGACTAGGAGCAATAATATGACATGAAGAACGTATATTTCGATAGAAAGTGAAACTGAATGTACTGAGGATTATTTAAAGGGGATTCTAGCATCTTAACTCATATTCCAGTACCGATTGGCTAAAAAACAAATCAATCAAAATACTCGGAATATTTTCACAATGGCCATGTAAGTTATATCGCTAAGAACTGATCCATCTAACAGATAGCTAAAAATGATATTCACAATCTAACGAACCAGATAAATATTTATCAAACAAATTAAAAATATCCACTCTCCTCCAGTACAATAATAAAAAGGCTATAATACAGCTTAAAAGGGAATACTGAGAAATTATAAGAGCAAAGTGGACATTAATTATATACACTGTTGGGGAGATATAAAATATTCCTCCAAAATGTCCAGAGGGACCCTGAAAATTCTGGGAAAGATTTTAACCAATCGGCGTTGAATAGAAGCGTCTCAGAAACATCTAGAAAGTGAAGAGTCACGTGTCACACTTCTGATTGGATGGTTACCTATTTTGCTACTATGTTTAGTATAAGTCCATAACCTTCCAGAAGTCCGAAACCATTTGAAATACCATGGATACCCTTGATTTTCTGTACATAAGCTAACTTGGAGTAAAACGTTTTTTCCACACTTTGCGCCTTTTATTTTTCCTTCAAGTTGTCGTGTAGACTTAGTTGGGATTATCAGAAGAGATAAGGAAAGTGTTGTAACGTGTGACTAACCATTCCCAAGAAAGAACGTAAAGTTGATACATCCGTCGGTGGAGGCATGGACTTAATGGCTTTGACATTTTCAGGATCAGGTTTTCTCCCGTTTTCATCGATTATGAATCCCAAATACCGGACTTGCTCCATGTAAAAATCACATTTTTCGGAACGCAGTCTGAATCCATAATCTGCTATGCGTCTGAGAACCGTATCCACCTTATTCTCTAAATCAGCATAGTCTGTACCCATGATCAATATATCATCGAGATAAGCCGCGGTACCAGGAATTTCTTGTAACATAGTGTCCATAACTTGTTGGAAGATTGAAGGGGCGGTCTTTACTCCAAAAGGAAGTCGGTTATATCGGAACAATCCCTTGTGAGTGTTTATTGTCAAGTAATGCTTATGTGGTGGTCGGTATTCGATATATCCCTTAAACTTCGTATACAATTCGTCTTGATAACCGTCCTATTTAACCCACAACGGTATATTATTCAGAAGGCGAATACGAAGCGTTGATTACGTTTATTTCGAGACCACACACACAGATGTCCAAAATTTACAGATGCATTAAACGAGCATTAAGAGTTGTGTCGAACGGCAAACAGGCAAGCGAGCGACTGAGCGAATGTAAGTAATCGAGTACAATCAAGCGAGCGAGAAAGCAGAGTCAACCATATGAATAACGTGGACATATATATAGCATGTGAAATTAATGAGTAATCGAATCAAATAAGCGGTTAGTAGTGAGACTAGCAGAGTGACATAAATGCGTAGGCCGTAAGCAATATTCAAGCATGCGTATTTCATACAAGCACAAAATAATAATAAGGGTACAATAAATTGTTATAGTGCGGATGGCTTTGTCCGCTAAATAAGTTAGCAAAAGGGCTTAACTGAGTTAAATGAGAATAAACCCATTTGCACGTGAGTCGCTATACTTACACTCATCTGCTACTGGAATCTGTAGATAAGCGTCTGATAGGTCTAATTTCGCAAAATACTTACCCCCATTCAGTTTCGCAAATAAATCCTCTGGTACCGGCAATGGGTATTGATGGGCTTCAAGCGCTTCATTTAATCCAGTCGAATAATCTGCACATAACCGGATACTTCCATTAGGCTTTTTAACAACCACTATTGGAGCTGCCCAATCAGAAAAGTTTACTGGCTCTATTATTCCACTTCTTTGCAGACGCTCTAACTCTTGTTCAACAATAGGTAGCGCTGCATAGGGTACCGGGCGTTTTGGTCTGAAGACGGGGGTGATTCCTGGTTTAAGAATCAATAGTGCTTTTACCTTTTTGCATTCCCCCAACTCTTCCGTAAACACTTGACTGTGTCTTTCCAATACAACACTCTTCAGATCCTTTTCCACCGGTTTATTGGTTCTCACTGCGCTGCGTATGTGGTTAATGGAATGATTTGCTGATTGTAGTGTTTCTATCATGTCTAGACCTAGCAAATCTAGTCCTGGATTCTGTGTAAGATGTAAAGTTGCATTCGTTTTCACGTTTCCTTTCGAAACTGTACAACAAACCTCTCCAACAATATTTAGTTTTCCTCCAGATGCGCTATGAGCTAACTGGGTTGTTGGGAGCACCTGTGGTCTACCGATAAGATTCCAAGTTCTCCGACTAATAAGTGTGATGTCAGAAGCGGTGTCGAGTTGCAGGCGGGCACGCTTTTTATTTATATCCAAGTTTACATACTTTCTTTGGCGGCAAATTCGTGCTCGATTATGTGATACCAATATTTTGTTAGTTCGAGCACTAAATCTGTATTTCTTCGAGTAGGGTTTCAAAGAATGTCGTTTATGGGTTCTTTTTCTGCAGCAGTTTTCTTTATGTCCCTTGCGATGACACTTGCTACAACAATGTTCTTTATATGGGCAGAACCTTTTATAATGCCAACCACCACAAGACCAACATGGAGATGAAGGCTGATTATCTGTGTGCGATACCTTTCTTGAGCAAGAATCGTTCTTTCCGCTTACAGCACGAACGTATGGCAACTGGCCATTATTTTCGACCATCGAAGTGTCATGCTTTAGGTTTACCAATCTCTGGCACTCTGTGGTTACTTCTTGTAGTGTCATATTCGGACATTGTTCAATTTTACTCAAAATTCTAGTTCTAATATCGGCATCTTCGGGAGATTGGAGGCTGCACACAAATACGAGACACTTGAACTGGTCTTCTGTCATTGCTGACAGTTTGAAGCGCTCACATTCACGGTTTACTAAACCCGCATGCTTCACCCAGTCATCATCACCTGCTTTTGTCATCTTGAGACATTGATAACGAATATTAAACAAGGATGACTGTTCAGCAAAGATTTGCGACAAAATTTCAATCGTTGCATCAAAAGAAAAATCTCTTGGATTCTTTGGAAGGATAAAGTTACTGTAACGTTCATGTTCAACAGTTCCAAGTTTTCGCAAGAGTATTCTGACCTTAGCGGCGTCATCAAGTTTTTTGAGGTCGACCTTGAACAAATCTTCATATTTCTTGAACCAAGTTTCAAAAGTAATGCCAGCTGAACCATCAAAATTAAATTCATGGATAGAAATAACAATCTGGTCAACATGAGATTTGAAGGGATCATCTGTAACTTCTTTTTGATCCAGGTTCATTTTCTGAGTTAGCATCTCTATCATGCGCATCTGGAACTGTTCAAAACGTTTTTCTTGGCGTTCCAATAAGGCTTCAAATTGTTCAAAGGTAAATGATAGAGATGCTAACTCAGAAAATGAACCTGGATCAAAAAGAAGTTACAGATGATCCCTTCAAATCTCATGTTGACCAGATTGTTATTTCTATCCATGAATTTAATTTTGATGGTTCAGCTGGCATTACTTTTGAAACTTGGTTCAAGAAATATGAAGATTTGTTCAAGGTCGACCTCAAAAAACTTGATGACGCCGCTAAGGTCAGAATACTCTTGCGAAAACTTGGAACTGTTGAACATGAACGTTACAGTAACTTTATCCTTCCAAAGAATCCAAGAGATTTTTCTTTTGATGCAACGATTGAAATTTTGTCGCAAATCTTTGCTGAACAGTCATCCTTGTTTAATATTCGTTATCAATGTCTCAAGATGACAAAAGCAGGTGATGATGACTGGGTGAAGCATGCGGGTTTAGTAAACCGTGAATGTGAGCGCTTCAAACTGTCAGCAATGACAGAAGACCAGTTCAAGTGTCTCGTATTTGTGTGCAGCCTCCAATCTCCCGAAGATGCCGATATTAGAACTAGAATTTTGAGTAAAATTGAACAATGTCCGAATATGACACTACAAGAAGTAACCACAGAGTGCCAGAGATTGGTAAACCTAAAGCATGACACTTCGATGGTCGAAAATAATGGCCAGTTGCCATACGTTCGTGCTGTAAGCGGAAAGAACGATTCTTGCTCAAGAAAGGTATCGCACACAGATAATCAGCCTTCATCTCCATGTTGGTCTTGTGGTGGTTGGCATTATAAAAGGTTCTGCCCATATAAAGAACATTGTTGTAGCAAGTGTCATCGCAAGGGACATAAAGAAAACTGCTGCAGAAAAAGAACCCATAAACGACATTCTTTGAAACCCTACTCGAAGAAATACAGATTTAGTGCTCGAACTAACAAAATATTGGTATCACATAATCGAGCACGAATTTGCCGCCAAAGAAAGTATGTAAACTTGGATATAAATAAAAAGCGTGCCCGCCTGCAACTCGACACCGCTTCTGACATCACACTTATTAGTCGGAGAACTTGGAATCTTATCGGTAGACCACAGGTGCTCCCAACAACCCAGTTAGCTCATAGCGCATCTGGAGGAAAACTAAATATTGTTGGAGAGGTTTGTTGTACAGTTTCGAAAGGAAACGTGAAAACGAATGCAACTTTATATCTTACACAGAATCCAGGACTAGATTTGCTAGGTCTAGACATGATAGAAACACTACAATCAGCAAATCATTCCATTAACCACATACGCAGCGCAGTGAGAACCAATAAACCGGTGGAAAAGGATCTGAAGAGTGTTGTATTGGAAAGACACAGTCAAGTGTTTACGGAAGAGTTGGGGGAATGCAAAAAGGTAAAAGCACTATTGATTCTTAAACCAGGAATCACCCCCGTCTTCAGACCAAAACGCCCGGTACCCTATGCAGCGCTACCTATTGTTGAACAAGAGTTAGAGCGTCTGCAAAGAAGTGGAATAATAGAGCCAGTAAACTTTTCTGATTGGGCAGCTCCAATAGTGGTTGTTAAAAAGCCTAATGGAAGTATCCGGTTATGTGCAGATTATTCGACTGGATTAAATGAAGCGCTTGAAGCCCATCAATACCCATTGCCGGTACCAGAGGATTTATTTGCGAAACTGAATGGGGGTAAGTATTTTGCGAAATTAGACCTATCAGACGCTTATCTACAGATTCCAGTAGCAGATGAGTGTAAGTATAGCGACTCACGTGCAAATGGGTTTATTCTCATTTAACTCAGTTAAGCCCTTTTGCTAACTTATTTAGCGGACAAAGCCATCCGCACTATAACAATTTATTGTACCCTTATTATTATTTTGTGCTTGTATGAAATACGCATGCTTGAATATTGCTTACGGCCTACGCATTTATGTCACTCTGCTAGTCTCACTACTAACCGCTTATTTGATTCGATTACTCATTAATTTCACATGCTATATATATGTCCACGTTATTCATATGGTTGACTCTGCTTTCTCGCTCGCTTGATTGTACTCGATTACTTACATTCGCTCAGTCGCTCGCTTGCCTGTTTGCCGTTCGACACAACTCTTAATGCTCGTTTAATGCATCTGTAAATTTTGGACATCTGTGTGTGTGGTCTCGAAATAAACGTAATCAACGCTTCGTATTCGCCTTCTGAATAATATACCGTTGTGGGTTAAATAGGACGGTTATCAAGACGAATTGTATACGAAGTTTAAGGGATATATCGAATACCGACCACCACATAAGCATTACTTGACAATAAACACTCACAAGGGATTGTTCCGATATAACCGACTTCCTTTTGGAGTAAAGACCGCCCCTTCAATCTTCCAACAAGTTATGGACACTATGTTACAAGAAATTCCTGGTACCGCGGCTTATCTCGATGATATATTGATCATGGGTACAGACTATGCTGATTTAGAGAATAAGGTGGATACGGTTCTCAGACGCATAGCAGATTATGGATTCAGACTGCGTTCCGAAAAATGTGATTTTTACATGGAGCAAGTCCGGTATTTGGGATTCATAATCGATGAAAACGGGAGAAAACCTGATCCTGAAAATGTCAAAGCCATTAAGTCCATGCCTCCACCGACGGATGTATCAACTTTACGTTCTTTCTTGGGAATGGTTAGTCATTATGGAGTTTTTCTTCCAGATATGCATCGCCATCGTGCTCCTCTTATTTGCTTATTGAAAACGGATACTAAATGGTTCTGGTCAACTGAATGCCAGGAAGCATTCCTAAAATCATCGAACCTTCTCCTTACACACTATGATCTCGATCTTCCAATTATAGTCGCAGCAGATGCGTCGAACTACGGAATTGGAGCAGTAATTTCACATGCCTACTCTGACGGGTCTGAGAAAGCAATCACTCACGCTGCGAGATCACTGACTATGACTGGAAGAAACTACAGTCAAATAGAGAAAGAAGCCCTCGCGATTATATTTGCTGTAAAAAAGTTCCACAAGATGTTGTTTGGTAGGCAGTTCACCTTACTTACAGACCATAAACCGTTACTGACAGTTTTTGGATCTAAAAAAGGCATCCCGGTTTATACAGCAAACCGGCTACAGCGATGGGCTACCACACTGCTGGGCTATGATTTCAAGATAAAGTATCAACCAACAACGGATTTCGGACAGGCAGATGCACTCTCAAGATTGATTAGTCAGCATGAAAAACAAGAAGAAGAGGTACTTGTAGCTGCTATAGATGTCGAGGCCGAGGTTCACAAAATATTGTCAGACGCAGTTTCCGGACTCCCGGTCACATTCGAAGCCATCAAAGCGGCTAGCAAGAAGGATAATGTATTGAAGATTGTTCGCCATTGCATACTCAACAAATGGCCGTCATCTAGACTACACGGAGAACTCTTACAATATTTTCGTCGACGAGAGTCATTAACAGTTGTCGATTCATGTATAATGTTTGGCCATCGTATCGTTATCCCCAGAAATCTTCGACACCAAGTCATTAAACGGTTCCACAGCGGGCATCCAGGGGTAAGTAAAATGAAATCACTAGCTCGGAGCTATGCATACTGGCCGTCAATGGACCATGATATAGAGCAAAAATGTCGCAGCTCTTGGTCCTGTCTAAAGGCTGCAAAGAATCCAACGAAAGTTGAACCACAACCATGGCCGAAACCGGACGGGCCTTGGCAAAGAATACATGCTGATTTCGCCGGACCTATACAAGGCAGAAATTACTTGGTTATTGTCGATGCATTCACAAAATGGCCAGAAGTATATGACATGCCGAAAATGACATCGGAGAGTACAATAAGAAGATTGTCAGGATTATTTGTTAGTTTCGGGGTTCCAGAGATCTTAGTGACCGACAATGGTACTCAGTTTATGTCATCCGCCTTCAAACGCTTTTGCAGTGAAAATGGCATATTGCATCTACAATCTCCTCCGTACCATCCTCAGTCAAATGGCCAGGCAGAAAGATTCGTGGATACGATTAAAAGAGCTCTGGTCAAAGGGGGAGGTGAGGGTATCCCGGAACAAGTGATTAATAAGTTGTTGATGTCTTACAGAGTTACCCCAAATCCGGCAGTACCAGAAGGAAAGTCTCCGGCCGAGCGTATGTTCGGAAGGAAAATCCGGACAGTCTTTAACAGTATGTTGCCGCCTAGAAAGACAAATAAACCCACGAATAAAGATCGTAAGGTCAATCGTAGCTTCCAGGTGGGTGAAAAGGTACTTGTCAGATCGTATCAAGGTAATAGGAAGTGGGAACCAGGTGTCATAGAACGTCGAATCGGAAATGTACTGTACCTAGTCCGGAAAGGTGTCGGAAAATGCATAAGACATATAAATCAAATGCAAAGAAATGATAGTACAGTGGTCACAGAAAACCGGCTCCCATTTCAATTGCTCGTAGATTCATCTCAGAAGAACCATCATGAGCGCAAATATCGAAAAGACAAACGACGCAGAGAGAAAGCTGTACAACCCTCGAGAGTAATGGACCGCAAGAGGAATGCGACACCCAAGCTTCAGGTGGATCCAAGAAAAAAATCTTACACAACGGACTTTAAAAGAGGGAGGTGTGACGACGGACCACCGGTGAACTCGAGGAAGCTGTAAGAGGCTCAGAAGGAGCCGAAGACGTCCCATCCAATCACCTTTCGGAAGAATGTTCTAGAATTCTAACAGGTAGCTTCCCGATTGGATAATGCTAATAACCCCCTGTACGCGGATTGGAAGACTGTAATGATGATTTCGTTCTCACTAAAAACTATAAATACCTGACAATTTTGTACTATGATTGACACTGTTTGGAATAATATTCCTTTCGTTAGTCTTCTGTCTTCTTACTGCGACTTGGAAGGGTTTTGGTGTTCTAGTGCTCAGTTATACGCGGTAGTATCAAGAAAAATAAGTTTTTCAAGATATAACAGAAAGTGATTGAAGAGTTCAATTAGAAGACTTATCACATACACACACACAGATTAACCAAAAACTATTCAGAAAGAGAGCTAAAATAGAAAAGAAGAAAAAAGACAAAAACGAACCTAGGATTTCTTTCCGTTTCGATTGTGACAAAGCTGTATAATCAGTAGAACTAAACTGATGTACATTGAACACATCTTCCATCTTTTCTATCAACTTTGCTGATTTATTAATTGTCAGTATTTGTTTGATTATATCAGCAGCATTCTGTTCAGCTAGTGCAACATTAGAAATTAATGCGGAACGTTGTTGTTTTCGTTTATCTTGTATAGCAGATAATTCAGCACAAACACGTGCTTCTTCCTTTCAATAAGAGATTTTAAAAAAGTACACCAGTATGTTTTTAACATGCATTTAACGTATAAACTTTTATTTATTGAACTAAATATGGCGCTAAATTACCTCATTATTAAATATATATATCAAATGAAAAAGCAGAAGCGATCTATAAAGTATCCGACTGTTGACCTGAGATTTATAAAGAATTGTAATTTGTCTGAGTGACGTCATCGCAATACTAAGTTAGCAGCTAATATCAGTGATGCAGTCAGATATTGAGTCGAAAATAACGTAAAACCAGGCATATATATGCACAGGTCAACGTTATCAACACAATGGGGCCAAATTATTAAGATTTTGGTTGTACCGGTGTCGGTGATATTAAAAATATTACGCATAGAAAATATGATTCAATAAGAATCAATGAATAAGAATAGGAAGTATAAAAACGTTTTGAAGTTAAAGATCTAAGGGAAGAGGGAAAATGCTTCTGCATCATTGTAACAGATTTTAAGCCATATCACCAAGCGTTACCAACCACTGGTCACGATAAATACCAAGACCACAACCAGGCAGTTTGAACCTACAAACATTGACTTACATACACAGTCAGTGATTTGATGGACTGAAGTTAAGTCTTAACTTGATCACTTCTAGCTTTTTACCAAAGTGCTTCTATATCAGCAAACGTCGAGCGTCGAGGAAGACAGTAAGTAAACATACGTAATAAACGTCCGAACCACCCCAGTCAATTCATACCATATCAACGGATATGTCATTGCTCTCCATTACTTTACGTCTAACTTCAGCATTGTTCACCCGATGATCCCAACATATATTATATCCTAGTGAAGATTATATTACTAGCAACGTCTGAGACTTATTAATGGACTATTATTATTTATATATTCTCATGGTATAAATATTCGGTAACTAGATTATGTATATCTATATTCCCCTTGTTATAAGCTTTATTTTAACCTATAATTTATTATTGTACGATTTACTGTTCTTAAGCTATGTTCAGTTTATTGACTACTGCCTCCCACATTTACAGCCATCTTTTGGCTTTATTGTGTACAAATGTTATTTCCTATTTTATGGTGCGTTGCGGTCCGTTTGATTGATATATGAACCCAGTGTGTCTGAAATAAATTATTCGATTCACATAATGGAAACTGGTATTGGTGTTCTGGACTCAAGTGGATGGGCTAGGCGGACATAGGACCAATAAGGACGCTAGGCTGCTCATACCGGTCGAACGTCATCGGTTTGGCACAGTGCTGAGATTGTATAAGTCGTATTTTGATTGGTGGATAAATCACGTAATAAAAAGCCGGACATAAAGTCATAACACATAAGCGACAAATGAGTCAAAGACACTCATGATTAAAATCCTGAGCCCCACCCTTGCCTTCAACTTTCAGAAGCCATGTTTCCCAACGATATAGTAATACATAGTTAACTGTTACACAGTATACTCGGCCTTTAATAGGAAGATGAACATCTTGCCTATATTGTAAGCCAAGAGAGACTCTTAAATTTGTGAAAAGCTTCAGTCAGACAGTAACCAGCTGAGGTTGATGAGACTTTCAGTAGAATTAAAGTTGCCGATGCGTTCGACTAACTCATTTCCAACTATTATTTTATATGACGACGTAGATCAGTGCAAATTCGAGTCATAGTTTCTAACCTCAACATATTTGTATTTTCTTTTTTTTTTGAGTTCTCATTGTGGTTTTTGCGTATGACAAGAAATGGACTGATATATTGTTGTAATTGTTATAACTTGTCAATTGAATGCTGATTGTCTTGGCTCTTTCTTTCCATTATATCAGTATTAGTTCAAATAATGAAAGAAACAATATGCTATTGAATGTATCAGTAAAAGATAATCAAAACAGTAAACTTCTATGAAATCAAAGTTTAGGATTTAATTACCACATACGTAAGAATTTGATTATTTTATAATATATAAATATTGAATATGATAGACCTTCTTAATCAACAATAAATAGTACTTACTTCTGCTAATTGTACAAGTATTTGTTTATTTTGATTCAATTTAGCATTTAATTCTTGTTCGGTCCAACGACTTTCCAATGATTGACGTTCTAATTCTAAGGCTAGAAGATTTTCTTCGTTTCGTTTTTTAGTATAATTAGTTAATGATGATGATGGTGTTGCTGTCTGGAGATAATTAAAAATAAACAGATGAATTGATAGAAACTGATTATTATCAGAATGGGCGATTGCGGAGATTGAAGTAATTTCAATAGATGAATTCATTAATCTTTAGTAGCTTAAGATCGTATGATTGATTGCTATTGACATATAAATGTCGCCAATCCTCGTATATAATTATCGACTTAACTCACGTTGGTGAATAACGGAATCAAATAAGTCAAATACGAGAATGAATTTTGAATACTTATATTTCGTACAATTGTTGGTCGAGACAAACGATCGAAAGAACGAAGCATAGAAAGGGAAGCGAAATGACACTCAGTGGAGAAGGCGTGTGAGCCAACTCCCTTTAATCAAGTGTTAACCAATATTTATAGCCATATAAAAATAGGTTACGGACATGTGATAAACAGAATAAGACGTGTGCACACACATGCGCTCATATAAAAACAGTCATGATTGATAAGCGAATAACTAACAAGGTCGAAACGTAACTCAAGTAGAATGGATAAATTGGTCTGTCCAGAAGCTAGATAAAGGTATATGGACTTAACATAGCAACCGACACTACAAATCAATCTAAGCTAGACCACCATTGAAAACTTGAATTTCTTGGAGTTCTAGTGAGAAGCCATAACCAGTGGAGTCCAATCCGTGTCGGGCGGATAAAGTTATCCATCACAGACAATGAACGAAGTTTTTGCAATATCATGGGTTGAGTAAAGTTAGATAATAACACCGTTGGATGCCGGCTCAATGGTCTACAGGTTAAGTGTTCGCGTGTGAGACTGAAGGTCTTAGGTTCGACTCCCTATGAAACTCCAGTAGTTCATGGAATTATCATCAAATCTTATGATCTCCCTCTTCAGCAGGTCTAAAGCTTTAGATATCATTGTTATCCAACCCTTTCGAGGAAGAATATCAACTGTACGTGAGGCAGTTGTAGACTCATACGACATACCCTTGTCAGCCACAACTTGATCATAATGTTCACTCCCCTTTTGACGTAAACGTTCTAACTCAATTTCTCTTTCTACCTGAGCTAAACCTGGTTTATCTAGTTCCAGCTCCAACAGAGGTTCTATTCGGTAGCCATTTCTTCTAAATTGGTCGTCATTATGAATTCCTGAATAGTGAGGAAACAATTTAGGAATCTGATCAGTTTTATGATTCTCCGTAGACATTTAAGAGTACTCAATGTATGGAGTTTTGATTAATTGACTGTTCGAAACTTTGTAAGAAATTACTTCCTACAGTAATAGCACGTATTAAAATAGTCATAGAAGATTAAAGAAATAGATGGATACTAAACTGTTTGTATGGTATACCACAAAATTTGAATTTGCATTGAATTAGAACTGTGTCTAAAAGAAGTTACATAATTTGAATGACGTTTACTTCAACATTACATAATCAAGTTTCCTTTCTGTACGAGCCGCCAGTATTGGAAGATATCTAACCTGTACTGTTGTATTTTCGGTATTCAAAAATTCACTGACCAGCTAACTACTTATGAACTAGTCAAGATAGAAATTATTTTGAATAATTACCAAAAAATAACAAGTGATTTTGTGGTGTGTGCTACTTATATTGATATAAGTAGTATATGACGCGAGTTAAAAACGTCATGTCTTGGCAGCAGAAGATGGGGGAAGATCAAGAAAGGAAGAGTGAGAACACCATGCAATTTGTAAGAAAACGCATGAACAATGAAGTGTGAGACAATGGATTGATGTTTGCAGAAGGAACAGTCCAGGTTGATATGATGGATTGATATTTTGCAAATTAACGATTTGCTAGATGGTGTTTTTAGTTTACCAAGTAACTCTGTAATTTTGTGCTAACTACACTCCATTGTCCCCACCCGTGTTCTTGTTCACTAAAATGTATGTAGTTACATCAAAAAAAAAATATTCACTGTAAATAGCATAAAGAAAATTGGTTCTAACAACTGAATTGAAGTTTATGGGACTTACATTGTTGGAAAAACTTTGCATATTTTGTTCATTCATTTCACTAAAAGTATTATTTATATTTGTGGAAGTGTAATTACTAGCCACATTTTCATGATTTACAACAACATTACAACATTTCATTCCTTCTTCTGAAAATAGAAAAAGGTCAGTAATATAAATAACTTACAATTAAACGAAAAATTTTCTTTCACTATTTTAATTGTAATAAAATAGATATCTCTAGGAAATAATTAGACCAAGAAATTGATACATTCACGATTGACAAACATATTAGTAATTTATTGATGAAGTTTTGTTCTCTGAGCTGGATGGTTTGGTCGTGGAGCATGCATCATTCTTCTGAACGACATCATCAGCACAAACTTCAGGTAAAAGTGAAGTGTTCGAATTTTTCCACATGTGGTTCACAGCTTGTCTTATACACTTCGATGTTGATTGGTTTTTGTTGTATCACCCAATGGAAGATACAACCAAAACAAAGAAGTAAACAATGATAGGTTTAAGGTCAACAAGAACCAATCAACATCGAGGTGTACAGGACAAGTTGTGAACCATATATGGAGAAACTCGAACGCTTCACTTCTATCTGAAGTTTGTGCTGATGATGTCGTTCAAAAAAAAAACAATGAAAGCTCCACGACCAAACCATCCAGCTCAGAGAACGAAACTCCATCAAAATCATCCACCCGAGCTACAAATCTTCTTCACCATCTTAATATTAGTAACTGTATACACGCTTGATGGTAATCAGTGATGCATATGAAACAGATTAAGATGGATGAAATACTGTAAGTTTATTTCATGTGTTTTTATGCTCTAGCTTCTTAGTTTGTCTAGGTAGTAGTTTGAACAGTTCAACTATTTGATATGAATCAGTTTAGTTACATCGATAAAAGATAAGACCTCTTTTAAGAAGACATATTCTAAACAATTTGTTTACAATGCTCAGCACAAACATAATCTAAGTATACTGATGGGTTCATTCTTTGCCAGTCAGCACTTATGAATGAATCCAAAAACGTACAACAAGCTGATCATGTCATTTTTCGATAAACACTTGTATTTTAACTTCTTTTTATTTTTCCAACTTTTCCTCGAAATACACTTTTTGTCTAACTCATCTTCCTCAAACCCTTCAAACTGAGTGAAGTACAATATTTGAGAGTTTACACAGGGTATAATCATTGTCTCCAGTAGATAATTCAACAACTCGAATAGTTATATTGAACCGCCAAGCCTTGCCTTTTAGTGTGTTGCCTATAATCATAACGTCATAATTCTACAATAATTCTATCAACCACGAAATTTACATCAGAAAACAGTAGAAGATCATAAGCAAAACAGTAAAGACCCCTACATTAGTAAAATGTAAGCAGAAATACTCAAACAAATAAGGAAACTCAGGTAACAAAAACCATAAGTAATGATGACATTTAGTACTCCCAAGTCACATTACCTAGAACGACCGACATTCCACTTTGATTTTCAAGCAGATGTAATTCATAGTTTTTGATTTCCTGTACCACTCAAACCAAAGATCAAAGATCATATGAATTAGTCCTCTTGCTCAGCATAGTCAATTATATGCTACTCTTTTAACCTCCTTTTACTTTATTTAACATACCATATCAAGGTAGACTATGATTAGAACACCTTTCTCATTCATAACCATTTAAGAGGTAACCGATATTAACAGACTCAACTCATGACTCTATAACTACTCCATAACATACAACTTCAGAATTCAGTTAGTTTCACCGAACATCATGAAAAAAATGTACGACTCCAAGCTGACTGAGCATGCGAATGTGTACTAGGTAACTAAAATTCACTACAATTTCTCATTAGTTTAGCTTACTTCCATTACACACATGAAGTGCAGTTTGAAAATATCCATCAAGAAATATTTGTAGCTTAAGTATGTCTAACACTCTTAGTAGTCATATTTTAAGTGCGTCATTTAAAGAGTAAAATACTGTCTCTAGCAAACATTTGAATATCACTCCAATACTGTAAGTGGATTAATTTGAGACGATAGAATTATTTCAATAATTCCTAGTGGATGATAACACTGAATTCTTAATACATGACAATCACAAGTCAATCTGTAAAGTTATATAATAAAGAGAATTTGTGAACTATATAAGACAAAAATATACTTATGAATATGAAGTATGAAAATATGGCATAATAGAAAAATAGAGAAAAATACAAAAAAAAATAAATTAATACTTTTAGGAAAATATACCTTGAGATAAATAATCCATTATTGATGTCAGTCCCAGTTTACATATATCTAGAAAAGAATAATCAATATAAAAAGTATATATTCAATTGGAAATACATAACTCTTTGCCCTCTATATTATTATAATAAAATTTTAGCAATACTAATAAAGAATAATTGTGCAATATCATGGATTGAATGTCAACTTAGGGGTTGATCTAAGGTTAGACACACCTCGCGAGACTTGAAGGATCTGGATTCGATCCTCAGTGGTTAGGGTTATGCGTGTGCAATGGTCAAAAGTCTTATACTAAGGCTAACAAGTTATCCAGGGTTTCTTGGTTTGTAATGGTCAAGATCAGTCGGTGATGTAAACTATAAAATTCAAAAATCCCCACAAACCCCTTATAGTAATAATAATCATGTGTTCACTAGTGACTAAATTTGAGAGGTGATTCCTGATGTCTCAGCGAGAAGCCGTGAATAGTGAGGTTCAACCATGTCACGTGTAAACCGTTAGATGCTGGGTTGATGCTCTGCAATAATAATAGTACGAAGAAGAAAAAAAGAAGGGAGTTTTCCTACTTTCCCTATTAAATGAATTTTCAAATGACATAGGTCATAATCAATATAAAAGTTCACTAGTTTGACATGTAACAGGGTCTATTAGTTTATATATGCAACATTTCGACCATTGTAGCACAGAAATTATGGATTTCTAAATGTAGAGACATAATCAATTTACTGAAAACGATAGTTTGCTCGAGTACCTCTAGCAGTTAATTACTCAATGCGGAATCTTTCCAGATCGTTTTACTCTTCAAAAAAAAGAAAAACATGTTCATAAGTTGTACTGGAGCCCATATGGTCGGACCTTATTATTAAAACATTAGTATTGTCTAGTCAAATTATTGATTAGTTCGCTCTAAGGATGTAGGCCAGATGAGCTATTTTATCAATATCTGAATGAATAATGAATAAATACCAAGACCTTAATGTTTGTCAGTCGTCCGACTAATTAATATCCAGTATCCAATCAAAAGAAGAAATTAGCAAACAGATAAAATCCTTATTTCACGGCTGTTTCCATATATGAGTGGACTCATACAACAATATGGTGTAATATTCTGTTCACACACCAACATAAATAAGAAATAAGTGCGCATAACTACACAGTATGTGTAAATGAAACTATGTGACTGGTCCATAATAAATTAACAACAACCTCTTGCTCCAATTACTTCAATATTCTGACTAACTAGATAGTATCAAACTAGCCGTTCAAACAAACAGTTTGATTCAAAATTTGTATTTAACAACTGAATTACATTAGCTATTTTCTTTTTAATGAACAACATTGAGATTTCATGAGATTACACCCACCTGAAGTAGGATATTGTATATGATCGCAGGAAAGAGTTAATTCTTTCAAATCTTTCAAATAGCACAATTGTTTAGGTAAAGATGACAAAGGATTATTTTTCAAATAAAGTTTAGTAATATGTTGTAATTTCCCAAAATCTGATGGTAATTCAGTAAGACGATTATCTGTAGAATAATTAAAATAAGTTTTCTTGATAAAATGTGAATATATTTTTGTTTCTTATATCTTGGAAGTAAAAGATTTCTGAGTAAACGATGTTATAACTACGACCTTGAGCGGTTTATTACGCAACCAGAAAAGTGTTTAGTTTTGAAGCAATTTGTGACGAACAGTAATAAAATTGCAATGGGATAAACAACTTTAATATGATAAATAAACAAAAATCTGTAAGGATTAAAAAATAGGAGCCCAGGTAGGAGTCGTGAGTTACTATTAGGAATGTTATTGTTAGAAGTCCGGGTTAAGAGTGTTAAGACTGGGAGTTAGCAATGAGGATTAAGTTAAGGGTTAAGATTGTTAGAGTTAGAGAGTTTGTTTACCCCTAAAACACGTTTCTCTATGCTTTGGATCACTTTAATTACATTCAGATAGTCTGCATTAGGAGCATGTGTTTCTTGTAATTCAGCGTACACTCCACTTTGCATTCACTACATAGTCGCACAAAAGATACTTTTAACAGTTTCAAGTATTTGGGAAACTGAGTATAGACAATTTTACTTGCTTTTCAGTAAGATATATGTTATCTTTCACTGCGTTTTGTATTTTGAACACACTCTAATAGACGTCATCTTAAATTTGATTGGTTCCCTGAATATTATTGTTTTAATGCGGTTCAAACGATTTTTGACCATAAAACAATCGATATTTAGGAAAAATAAGATTTATTTAATTAAAAACAACTGAAATATTTTTAAGTACAATGAATATTGAGTGAAAGTTTGCTTACAAATCTACAGTTCATTATTGAGTATCGAACATTTTGTTAAGTTAGTGGAACAATATTTACTTAACCTGAAATATTCGTTTATAATCTTACTTAATGAGAACGAAAGAAGGAAATAATAATAAGCAACGTTATATCCACCGTATAAGTTAAAAGTTGCAGTGACTGTCACTAAATTGATAGTGAGTTAACTTTTCAAGCGACAAATGCTTGGTTTCGCATCTGTTTAAACAAAAATACTGAGATGCAACCTCAAATCAGATGGGACCTGAGTTCAATACTATGCATTATCTAAAATGCTTACAATTAACTTGTAGTCACAGAAAATATCGAGGCATTCACTCAAGGAACAAACATACCAACAGAGATTGGTTAGATGCAATCTCGAATATCAACAACGGGAAAACATAAAACCCATATACACACAAGAAAGAATATCACTCTAAGGACATGTGTGGAAAACACTGGGAGAAAATAGTATAGCGTAAAATTATCGTGAAAATCTTTATATTTCAATTTACCTTCAATGTTAAGAAATAAAAGTTGAGAAAGAGATGTGATGGTAGATGGTAATGTTGATAATAGATTTTTTGAAGCATTTAAAACCTAAACATATAATTTTAGGCTATTAATTTTACCGGAAACAATATAATCAAAATATTACCTGTAAACATTTCAACTCAGAAATATTATTAGGTAATTGTTGAAATTCATTTGAACTTATATCAAGCAGTACAATATTTTGAAGATATGTTAGTTTACCACCAGAATCAAGTTTTTGTAAGGAATTTTGTTGTAAATATAATTTTGTCTTTAGTAAAACTTTAACAAGTGAAAAAGTTCCTTCAGGAATCTAAATATTAATTGTAATCCTATCAAATATAAAGTATATATATTACCATTTTAAGTTCACACGAAGACAGATCAAATATATCATCTGGACATTCTCGAGCCTAAAATTTATACAGATATAGAAAACAGAATAGGTATACAATCTCAAAAAGAAAATATTTGTAAATATATTACGAAATACTAAGAAATAAAAACACACTTAGAAAACTGGGAGCCTAATTTTAAAAAATTTAAACAAATATTTCTAATATCTCAAACGTATTCTCCACGTATATAGCTTAATAAGAAATACTTGACACAAAAATAATTGAGTTCAAATCACTACACCTACAAATAGTACAACACAGAAAGTACATATAAAAGGAGGAAGGTATTCAAGTCAACAAGGAAAATTTATAAGTATGATAGATTATTATCAATTCATTTACCAAGTACAGGCTTGTATACTTGACTTGAAGCTAAATTCCAAGTGTGAGGGTTAGTAGTGATAGTACCCAGTCAGTCGAACCGAAATAGACGGGAGTAGCGTTGGTACAGACTACATAGTGGCTGAGAGTTCAACACCCCGACTACTGAGCCACTGCTTTTCTGATAAGTATGAAGAAACCATTTGTCTGAAGTTCAAACGATGATTTTAATTAGGTGAATGTTTTATTTATTTATTTGAACACCTTAACTTCGGTACAAGGGGGCACCAAATACACATGCACCATACAATAAAAATGAGGGTTTGAAAAGACAATAATAATAATTATTATTATTATTATTATTATTACATTATTATAGGAGAGGCAGATCAGTTAGGAAAAATATAACCAAAAAGTTCTATTAATTAGGGACGTTACACTCATTTTTATGAAGTGAATGAAAATTGCAGAAGGATAGCCGTTGGATTCTATCCTGAATCATATCTGATAACGTCTCAAGCCACTGTGTTGCACCAATTTTAGGACCCAAACCAAAGAGTCGTGACGGACCAACAGATGAGTCCTGTACAGCTTAATTTCATACCACGACACCATGCGTTTACTAAATTTCAGAATTCACAAGAGGATTATTTTGATTCGTCATAGCAACACAGCATAGGAAAAGCGATATTGCTGAAATTTTCTTGTGTTAAACTTAATTTTTAGTGAAGCTTTTTTTCGTCCAGATTATAATTTATGGACGAACCAGTCAGATATAAGATAACAGGTCTTGGCGTAAAATTCATTTGCCCATCTAGCTGTATAGCGTCTTGGCATTTTAGCTGATGTCAGTTCGTGATGAAAACTCTAAACCTAGTTCCTAATTATCAACTGTAACCTATAGTTCTAATTCCTCAAACTGCTTTATAAGTTATTTAGTCCTAGTTATTAAATGAAAATTCTCAGAGTCACTTCAGCGTCGATCACAGGTTGTTCACAAAGCATAGTCTCACCGTTTTTTTGTTGTTGATGAACTGACTTTCTGACGTGCACGTGACACGTTGGAACTAATGAAGCGTACTTCGTGAGGGCCTGTCCGGTTTCATATGCACTTATTAGTGAGGACATAAATAGTCCATCATCTGTAACTTCTTTTGATTGTCGTAAATGACAAATGTACACTGAACTTACAATTAAAATACGTAACGAGCATCTGGCTATCAATAGACAGATCAACAGTTGTTGATCTCCCAATAAACTTTGATATTACTTCTCGTTAATAAATATCTGAATCCATGTATCATTTTTTTAATGTATTTGACAGCAGTCATCGTGTTATACGATGGAAATAAAGGTGAACATATGAGACACTTGGGACTAGGCGAAAAGATCATTCGGCGGTATTTCAGACAGACAGCAACAAAAAGAAGTAATCCCGCATTATTTTTATGCGTTCCTACTTGATTTTCTAACGGAATTCACATTTTATTTCCTTTTATTCGTCTTTATTTCCCTTTTACTGGTTACTTGAGCTACATTAATGTAACGATTTATAAATCGACATATCGTTTATATTGAAATCAATGCCATCAGTTTCAATTGAATTTCTCATTTTAGGTAGCATTTGGTTTAAACCTACGAGGTACATTTTTTTCTCGAGCAACCGCCTCGATCCATCAGATTGCTTTTTAGAAAACATCAGTGACCTAGAATCGTAGACACCTTAACTGAAAATCCACTTCTCAAATGTATTCACTATTCACCACGTTCAAAGAAGTACTTAACTGATATAGAAAGTAAAATATTTAGGCTACTTTCATGTGTAAGCCATCGAAGCACTTCGAAAATACTCAGTGTAAGATTGAAAGTTAGTTTTTTAGGTCTTACCTTTCATGAATCACAAATGCCTTGATATAACCCACTCGAGGTCTCACTTTGTCCACTTGTATGTTTATTTATTAATTTTTTAATCCCACAACTGTGTGATTGATATATTGAGGACTTCTTTTATCAAAAACTAAGTGAGTTTAACGTTCTTACTCGGTTGTCAAACTAGATATTTTCTCGTCTTTTCTTACCAGATTCTTTACATATGGATCTAAAGAAGCTACTATAGGACATAGTGAAGCCTCAGAATAAACCTAAATCTACCAAAAGCTAGATCTCTCAATGATTCCACAACAATTTTTAAAACTTCTTCACATCAATTAAAATTAGTTACAAGTACTACATAACAAGACATCTTTTCAGAACCGAAAAAGAAAAGGCTTGCAGGAAAATTTGTTCAGAATTTCATGTGGTCGAAAGTAGTAGACTACGAAACGTCTCATCAAAAGTAATAGGAGTGGAACCTAAGTAGAATCGTTTGGAAAAAATTGGTGTTTCGTTCTTCAGTAGCAAGCATAGTATGTCAGTGCCCCTAGTTAATCCTGACAGTTTGACTTCCGGTGAAGTTCCAGCTTCTTCCTGAAGATGTTCGCTGATGAGGCTGATACAACTTGTCTGTGTAAGGCGTCTTAGTCATTAACTACTGAATAAGAAATAAAGAACCCCACTTTAGGTTTATCAGATCGCGGTTTGTGAACTCTTTTGATATGACCTTGGAGATTATCAGAGCTGGAGGGAGCAAAATAATAAGATATATTAACACCCGGATCGTAATTAAAGATACAAAATGGCAGTAAAAAGTCACTGAGCATCCCGAGGTACGACAAGGGGAAAAGGTTTAGGCATTTTAAGTGCGTCTTTATGTTCCTGAACGTAATATTAATAGCATACTGGTAATTATTACCGTGTACGGCGTGCATGAGTACACTCTTCCTAGAAATAAATTCCAAGCTTCAACCTCAAGCCCATCTAGTTAATTCGTTTAGGTCAACTTGGAGATCGAAATGATCAGCCTCAATTTTATTATTCTCCGGATTTTGACATCATTCGCAAACAATAATGTCGACGACTTAAGCAATCACGGCATTTTATTAACGTAGAGAAGAAAGAGTAGGAGACTTGATATAGTGCATTGGGGTACATCACTTTTGACCAGCTTCCATTCGGATAACGTTCCATTAACCTGGACTTTCTGTCTGTGATCACACAAAAAGTTTTCTCACCATTCCTGTACATCACCTGCTATCACGAAGCTCGAGAGATTCTGCATATAACCTTTTTATGAAAACTTGTCAAACGCTTTGTTAAAGTCTATGAATGTCACATTGACAGACAGACCGTTATCTAGGGATGCCGTCTATTCCCCTCTCGCAATAAGTTAGTCGAGCATGAATGCTTGTTTCAAAACCCGTGTTGCTCGGGAGTTAACAAATTGTAAGAATCTATGTGACTTGGTAAGTTAACCGGAATTATCTTCTCAAATAAATTAAGGACTATGCTGGTAAGACTGGAAAGTCGGTAGTTAGATACGATCTGTCTCTGACCATCCTTAAATATAGGACTGTCTATAGCGTCTTTCCAAACTCTAGGGAGTTGAGCCAGTGAAAGTGATATGTTGAAGGGCATCGCGAGTGATCTTGAAATGATGTCCGCGAGGGATAACGGTAGTCGTGGATGTAACCCATCAGGGCCTGACATCTTAAAGGTTTGAGGTTAGTGACCAATAGAAGAACAGTTTCCTCAGTCACCTGTACAGATTCAATGGATGGTACCTCGGTGTGATTGGGATAAGTATTTGTAACAATACACGTAGAGTAGACTTCGCTAAAATAGTTTGAAAAAGTCTCAGCTTTTGCCCGATATGGTTCAGCTAGTAAATTCGGGCCCTCTCTTTTACAAAGACCACAAATTCTTCAAAGCTTTACTCCTTCCCGTGCATTATGATCTTATCGGCGACTTCCACCCCCTTATTCTGTAATTCTATTGGCAAGCATGAAACTATTATTTCCAAATTAGCCGTAAAATTAACATCAGACATGTAACCCATTTCCTTCAACATTATACATACATTACGTAGCTTAATCGCGAATTCGGTTAAGACGTCAGCTGATCCTCTGACAGATTTGTGGTTCAATAAATCAGTAACCAGTTCTCATACAACAAGGTGCTCCTTACCAAATAGGTCATATAAAATTCGTTTAGCTCTATCATAACCCAAATTACTGGGCAAAGAATTGTAAGCTTCATTAGTCGTCCTGATCTTTCCTTTGCAATCATATAACAAATACGACAACATTTAGACCTTATCGGACAGCTTACTTTCGATAATGATGCTAAACTGACTAATAAAACGGCAGGACTGACTTGGTTGTCCATCAAAACACATATCAACATTATGTAAAGCCATATTATTAACCATAGTATGTAACATATCCTTCAAGTTGTAGCGGTAAATAAATCCCCAAAATAAATAGCTCTAAGTTTTCGACATTGGATACTGACCATATGTCTTAGTGGACTCATCTAGCTGAAGGCGCTCGGTCAGGCATCCGCACCAGATCACGTGTGGTAACGCCGTGCTCAACATCAACCGCAATCGCTAGCCAGATTAGATCAGAGAATTCCGATATATTGGTCATCGCCAAATATACTCTTCCGATCTCCTCGACTCTGTCTTTTGATTTCTCTAGGCGGGAACGAAATATATTAGAAGGTGTTACTGGTAGAAGCGTTGTCAAACACTGAATACCTGTGACTTCATCATTGGTGAGACCGACGTGATCTGGTACACCTTATTGCAACTGTGAGTCTGTTCCTTTTTGGGATTTTTATATATCATTGCCTTATTTTTTTATTTTTTTTAAACATTGTGATTTTGTTCGCGTTTTTTTCTTGGATATATATATATTTTCCCCTCGTTCATTATCGTACTACATACTTCATCATGACTGAACAGACACCTAAAGTACTCAAGCTTAAGACTTTGTCCCCGCCTTCGTTTCAACTGATGCCTTTCTGGCCCGACAACATCGAAGCCTGGGTTTGCTACGCAGAAGCCGACTTCTCCGAGCACGGCGTGAGCGACACACGTGCACAATTCCTCGCAGTGTTCAAGGCACTACCGCGCGAATTCAACAGGTACGTAACACCTAGTATGTTTACTAGTGATGTTTCCGATCCTTACGAAATCTTAAAACGCTCGATTCTTAAACGAGGAGACCTAACCGATCGACAAAGGTTAGATCAACTCTTCAACAATAGCGACCTGCAACACGGTTCTGCGACGGACATGTTGCAACGGATGAGAGAGGTAATAGGCCCAAGAACTTTCGACGAAGGTCTATTCAAACAAACTTTCGTGTCAAAACTTCCCCAACAGGTGCAAGCAGTTCTGGTCTCGTTCCAGAACAACGCCTTAGACGAGCTAGCTGCATCTGCCGACCGCATTTTAGAAATTACGAAATCTACTACCGAGGTATTTTCAGTCAAAGGAAAACCTCAAACGACTCAGAATGATATAACCGACTTATGTCACACACTGACGCGTTATCTTAGTCTTCGTACCGACCGTAAGAGATCGCGCACACCACGTAGAAGCATTTCTCGTAAGCGATCTGTCTCTAGACCACGAGAGACAGATAACCCCGACTGGTGCTGGTATCATAACCAGTATGGAAAGTTTTCCAGAAATTGCAGAAAACCCTGCAATTTTCCCAACACGAAACCGACTGATTCGAAAAGCGATTCGGGAAACTTCCAAGCCGGCACGCGTTAACGGCAACCGTAGCCGGCGAACAAAGCCGTCTGTTATTCGTCACAGATGTGACAACGAGAGTTCGCTACCTCGTCGACACTGGCGCAGAAGTTAGCGTTCTCCCAGCAAATCCTAACGACCGGCTTCACGAATCGGCTTTTAACTTACAGGCGGCAAACGGAAAACCGATCTCTACGTACGGCAAAAGGTACGTTTACCTTAACGTGGGTTTACGCAAACCCATCCACTGGATTTTCGTTGTTGCAGATGTTTCTATGCCAATCATTGGTATGGACCTTCTACAACACCACAATCTGATCATCGACACTCGCAAACGGAGGCTAGTATACGGAAACACTAATTTGTCCGTTTGCGCAACTTCTTTTACTGGTTGTAGAGTATCCTCAGTCACAGTTAAACATATGATAGACCCACTCTATCAACCACTACTCGATAAGTACCCTGAGATACAACAAACTCAACAGAAACTACCGTGTGTAACCAGCAACGTTACACATCACATCACGACCACAGGACCACCTGTATTCTCTAAAGCACGACGACTAGCTCCTGAAAAGCTAAGGTTAGCGAAAAACGAATTCGATCACATGATGGACTTAGGAATCGTACGACCGTCAAGTAGCCCATATGCATCTCCGTTGCACATGGTCCCTAAGAAGGACAGCAACGATTGGCGTCCAACTGGTGACTATCGGCGATTGAACGCCAAAACCATTCCCGATCGTTACCCGTTGCCTCACATTCACGATTTGACAGCTACCTTGAAAGGTACAACTGTCTTTTCGAAAATCGACTTGGTTAAAGCGTATAACCAAATCCCTATGGCTTCTGACGACATTCCGAAAACCGCCATCATTACTCCCTTCGGACTCTATGAATTTTTGCGAATGCCTTTCGGTCTAAGGAATGCTGCTCAAACATTCCAAAGATTCATAGACGACGTTTTTCGAGGTCTCAACTTCGTACACGCGTATGTTGATGACTGCCTAATCGCAAGTCCGGACATAGAAACACATCTCAAGCATCTGGATCTTGTTTTCGAACGATTACAAAAACATGGCATTACTGTAAACGT